GGCATTCACTAGCCATGTGACCCAAGACAAGTCACCAAAGTTCCTGGAGCCTTCCTTTCTTTATCCATAAAATCATCCATCTAATAAAATCATTGTGGTGAATTAGTGTGCACAAAGAGCCTTGAAACACATGTCATATGTAGGAATCACTCCATCAAGGTCAGCGATTGTGATTATTATCCTATGACTGCCACCCTCTCACCAATAATCTCCCCAGCTGAGCAGACTTGGGGCAGCAATCAGGGGAGGGGGGCAGTGGTGAGAAGTGGGTGTCAGGCAAAAAGTATGCTGGGCTCCTGGCAGTTCCCTGATCCTTCCCCAAGCCCGTATCGCTGCACCCCCAGGCTTACCACATCACCTACCAAGCACCCCAGAAGCCTGGGCATCCAGCCGGTGTCCCACAGCAACCTTCAGACTGGTGAATGCTGGTCCACATACTGAAAAAAAAAGAATGAAGTCCATTTGCTCAATCAGATCAAGACTGTGGAGTCCCTGCCCAATTCTGCTGAAGGAGAGTTCTGGTAAGAAAATGGAGGCTCCTGGCTAGGCACAGTGGCTCATACCTATAATCCTAGCACTTTGGAAAAGCTGAGGTGAGAGGATTGCTTGAGCCCAGGAGTTCAAGATCGGCCTGGGTAACACAGCAAGATGCCATCTCTACAAAAAATTTAAAAATTGGCTGGGCGTGGTGGCACACCTATAGTCCCAGCTACTTGGTAGGCTGTGGCAGGCGGATTGCTTGAGCCCAGGAGTCTGAGGTTGCAGTGAGCTATGATCATGCCACTGCACTCCAGCCTGGGTGACAAAGCAAGATCCTGTCTCTAGGGAAAACAAAACAAAACAAAACAAAACAAAAATGGAGGCTCCTTAAGGTAGGACCTGGGTCTGTTTAGAGTTCTATCCCCAGAGCCTAGAACTTACTAGCTGCTCAGGAAATAACTATTGAAGGAATGAATGCAGGAATGGGCCACAAGTGTTTATACTTCTATAGATCAAGAATCTGGGCCGGGTGCGGTGGCTCACGCCTGTAATCCTAGCTCTCTGGGAGGCCGAGGCGGGCGGATTGCTCAAGGTCAGGAGTTCCAAACCAGCCTGAGCAAGAGCGAGACCCTGTCTCTACTATAAATAGAAAGAAATTAATTGGCCAACTGATATATATATATTAGCCGAGCATGGTGGCACATGCCTGTAGTCCCAGCTACTCGGGAGGCTGAGGCAGTAGGATCGCTTGAGCCCAGGAGTTTGAGGTTGCTGTGAGCTAGAATGACGCCATGGCACTCACTCTAGCCTGGACAACAAAGCAAGACTCTGTCTCAAAAAAAAAAAAAAAGAATCTGGGGGAAGGTACAGGCTGGTTAAGAGCCTACTGAATCAAGACTATGTTATTAATATCCACACTGAGCCTCAGTTTTCTCATTTGTGAAATGAGAATAGGACATATCTCACAGGATTGTGTTAAAAAGTCAATGAGATCACAATTGGAAAAGCTGAACACAATGCCTAGTACAAAGTAGGTACTTCATAGGGAGTCACTGAATATCACCAGCTGGAGTTTTAAAGGTTTCTGATCAAGCCCCTGGCCTCCCTGACACATGCCTTAATCAAATCTAGTGACAGGGATGCATTGCCAGAAACAGTTCCATGGTGGGGCAACTTTGTTCACTAAAAAGTCACCCTTTCCCAGAAACCCAAAACCCCTTCCTTATGATTTCTAACTGAGGGTCTCAATTCCCACCTTGAGTCCCAGAATAGCAAAAGGGACAGCAAACTACAGTCCACAGGCCAGATCCTAAAGACTGGTTATTTTTTTGGTTTTTTAATGGCCTGCAAATTAAGAAATGTTTTTTTCCATTTTCATATATATATATAAATATATATTTATTTTTTTTTTTTGAGACTGGATCTCACTTTGTTGCCCAGGCTAGAGTGATTGCCATGGCGTCAGCCTAGCTCACAGCAATCAGGTCCTGGGCTCAAGTGATTCTACTGCCTCAGCCTCCCAAGTAGTGGACTACAGGCATGTGCCACAATGCCTGGGCATAATATTTGTATATTATTTTTAGTTGGTCAATTAATTTCTTTCTATTTTTAGTAAGGAGACGGGTCTCACTCTTGCTCAGGCTGGTTTGGAACTCCTGATCTCGAGCGATCGACCCACCTCAGCCTCCCAGAGTGCTAGGATTACAGGCATGAGCCACTGCGCCCAGCCTCCATTTTTAAATGGTTCAAAATAAATCAAGAGAATAATACAATTTTTCCTCGGTATCCATGAGAGATTGGTTCCAGGGTCACTCACAGATACCAAAATCCACAGAGGCTCAAATTCCTTATATAAAATGGTGTAGTATTTGCATATAACCATCCTCCTATATACATTATTATTTTTTTTTTGGAGACAGAGTCTCATTTTTGTTGCCCCGGCTAGAGTGCCGTGGCCTCAGTCTAGCTCACAGCAACCTCAAACTCCTAGGCTCAAGTGATCCTCCTGTGTCAGCCTCCTGAGTAGCTGGGACTACAGGCATACACCACCATGCCTGGCTAATTTTTTCTATATAGTTTTAGCTGGTCAATGAATTTCTTTCTATTTTTAGTAGAAACGGAGTCTCACTCTTGCTCAGGCTTGTCTCGAACTCCTGAGCTCAAACGATCTGCCCGCCTCGGCCTCCCAGAATGCTAGGATTACAGGCGTGAGCCACCTCGCCAGCCTAATTTTTTTAAAACCTTTTTTTTAGAGGAAGGGTCTTGCTCTGTCCCCCAGGCTGGAGTACAGTGGCATGATGATCATAACTTGTAACCTCAAACCCCTGGCCTTGAGCAATCCTCCTACTTTGGCCTTCCAAAACGCTGGGATTATAGACATGAGCCACTGTGCCTCTCCCATATACTTTAAATCATCCCTAGATTACATATAATACCTGATACGTATGCCTACACATCATTTCATTTGTTTGGATTCAATGTAATATTCAGCATAGCAAATTCAAGTTTTGCTTTTTGGAACTTCGTAGTTTTTTTTTTTAATTTACCAGTCCTAATGTTACAGCTCTTTTAGAATTTGTCTAGCAGGTTTTCCAGTCCTCACAGGAAGGACCACCCTCCCCCAAAATTTACCAATCCTTTCTTTAACTACAGAAGATTTTTCTTAAATGAATATCTAAATTCATTGTTAGTTGAATCCATGGATGCAAAACCCATGGAAAAAGAGGGCCAACTATACTTTGTGACATGTGAAAATTATATCAAACTCAAATGTCAGTGTTCATAAATAAAGTCTTATTGAAACACAGCCAGGCTCATTCTTTTTGATATTATCTATAGCTATTATGCACTACAATGGCAGAGTTGAGCAGTTGCAACAGAAACTGCACGGCCTGCAAACCATAAAATATTTTAACAGCTGGCTCTTTCCAGGAAAGTTTGCCAATCCCTGCTCTAATATTTTTTTTAACAATATTTTGCTCTTTAACTTACTCTTTTTTTTTTTTTTTTTGAGACAGAGTCTCGCTTTGTTGCCCAGGCTAGAGTGAGTGCTGTGGCATCAAGCTAGCTCACAGCAACCTCAAACTCCTGGGCTCAACCCATCCTACTGCCTCAGTCTCCCAAACAGCTAGGAATGCAGGCATGTGCCACCATACCCGGCTAATTTTTTCTATATATATTAGTTGGCCAATTAATTTCTTTCTATTTATAATAGAGATGGGGTCTTGCTCTTGCTCAGGCTGGTTTCGAACTCCTGACCTCAAGCAATCTGCCTGCCTCAGCCTCCCAGAGTGCTAGGATTACAGGCGTCAGCCACTGAGCCCGGCCCCTGCTCTAATATTAACTCATCATCCCCATTCTGGACCTCCAAAGGCCTGGCACAGAAGTCTGAGTGCTAGGACACTGACTCTACTCAGGGATTTCCTGGGAAGTGACATACAGGATCCTGCTTTAATCTGCCTTACCCAGTGGATGTTTCCTGAGGGTAGGCACACTGGTGGCTGTGAGGGTCAGTTCCTTCTTTTCACTGCTTTCCAAGGGGCCCAGCAAGAACCGAACACGCTGTTCAGGGGCAGGAGGCTTCCCAGCATTGAGACCTAAACACACACAAGTAGAGGATATCTCGTCAATTCTGTCCCAACACCAGGGGGGCAGAGGTGGGGACGAAAGTATGATGATGTAGAACAGCGGTCCCCAAACTTTTTGGCACCAGGGATCATTTCATGGAAGATAATTTTTCCAAGGATGGAGTGTGGGGGACGGGGATGGGGACCGCATGTAAATACAGATGAAGCTTTGCTCCCTCACCCGCCGCTTACCTCCTGTTGTGCGCCCCCACCCGTTCCTAAGTTTCATGGAAGATAATTTTTCCACAGGATGGAGGGGGGGGGGTTTGCCGGATGGGGAGCTCTGCGGCCACAGACTGGTATGGGTCCATGGCCCGGGGATTGGGGACCGCAGATGTAGAGGACTGATGAGAACATGGTGTAGAGAACAGAATAGCAGTAGTTAAGAACAGACTTGGTTCAAATCCTAACTCTACTACTTATCAACCTTATGACAACAGACTCAGTTTCCCCAGCTGAATATAGGAGAAAATGAGAAGTAATGAAACATACAGGACGGTAAGGAAACCGCTTATCCAGGCACACAGATCACGTGACTTTGTTTTGCTGGAAGAACCAGAAGCGGAGATCGACTTCCAGGAGAATGGGAGCGGGATCCTGGGTCTGGTTCGAGGCACTCACCTTTCAGAAGTTGCAGCTCAATGGTATCCCGCAGGTGCTTCCATTTTAGCCCCGGGGGCTTATAGGCAGCGAAAAGCCCATTAAGCTGCGCCAGGCGGGCGGACCCCATATCTGAAGCCCGCAACCCAGCTTCGCAGAAAAACTGGGATCTGGACGGAAGCGCCGTACGGTCCCGTCCCCAAATGTGGTACTTATAATGGGCGCCGCCATGTTCTGCAGCCGGAAGTGGTTCTTTTCTTACTGTCCTCGGGGAAAACGTGATGGAGAGAAGGAAGTAGGGCCCGGCGGTGAACAGCAAAGCTGGCGGGGTTACGTCTCCTGTGGGGAATCTTTTTGGGGGTGAGGTAAAATGGGGAGAGTCTTGCATCGGTGGAGGTAGGTGGTAGACAGGTCGTGCGGGTTTCCTTCACATACTTTGCAGTAGGACCCATTACTGCTGGTGCTACGGTGCTTTCCGTCAAAAGGCCATACGCATCAGAATCGACGGGTTTTTTTTTTTTTTCCTTCTCTGGTGCTCTGTCGCCAGAGAAACTTAGGGCCTCAGCCTTACCCGGCCAGTCCTCCAGCGGACGTCCGCTACCATGGCGACCCTGCTGCGCCGGGCCCTGCGCCCACTAGGCGGGCTCCCGGGCGGTCCCTGGCCTACGGCAGGCAAGTGGCGCCGGGTCCCAGGCGGAGGCGGGAAGGAGCCTGAGGGCACCCGTCTCCTCTGACTTCGGCCTTTTTCTTGCCCTGCAGATGTGCCCCTCCGGGCCGGCAGCCATGGCGCTGGCCTGCTGTACCCGGACCACATCCCCACCTCCCCGCTGCAGAAGGCGCTGCTGGCCGCCGGCTCTGCTGGAATGGCGCTCTACAACCCCTATCGCCACGGTAAGGCCTCCCGTGCTCGGCGCTCCCTTGTCTTGGAAGGCTGGGCAGGTCACGATCTCTAAAGCCTCTGTTTTCCTATGAGTAACTGGAGAATAGGTACCTGGCTGCACCTCGAAATCACCGGAACGTTTATAAAAACGCAGATGTCTGGGTCCCACCTAAACTCACTGAATCAGAATCTGCAGGAGGAAGGAGGGAAGGGAGAAAGGGGCATGGAATCTGGACGTCTGCTTTTTTAAACTACTTCCTGGGAGATTTTCTTATCCAGACATATTGAGATGTCTGGACTAAGTAGATGAAGTATAAACATCCATGAAATTATAACATCCCACTAGAAAGTAAACTTTCAAGCACCGTGACTGCCTTGTTCCACTGTATCTGCAGCATTTTTTTTTTTTTGAAACAGAGTCTCACTCTTTTGCCTGGGCTAAAGTGCTGTGGGGTCAGTCTAGCTCACAGCAACCTCCAACTCCTGGGCTCAAGCAATCCTCCTGCCTCAGCCTCCTGAGTAGCTGGGACTACAGGCATGTGCCACTATGCCCGACTAATTTTTTCTATATATATTAGTTGGCCAATTAATTTATTTCTATTTATAATAGAGATGGGGTCTCTCTCTTGCTCAGGCTGGTTTCAAATTCCTGACCTCTAGCAATCTGCCCGCCTCGGCCTCCCAGAGTCCTAGGATTACAGGCGTGAGCCACCGCGCCTGGCCCTGCATGATGTTTTTGATTTTTCATATTAACCCTATAAGAAAGGGTTCCCTGCACCTCGCAAATTAGGACACAGAGGCATAGAAATACAAAGTGGTTTGCACAAGGTCACCTAGATAGTGAATGTGCCTGGGCTCAAAACCAGTACTCTCTGAAGCCAAAGCCTGTACCAATCAATGGAGACATGAGACTCTGTTGTACAAATGGATGTGAAAGTGATTTATAAACTCTTCAGAGTACTGTACTATCCGACACCAGTAGATTACTAATACTAGTAATAACTATAGATATGTACATTGAGCTCTTGCTATGTGCCGGGTGATTTGCTAAGTGTTTAGCGTAAATCCTCGTAAGTAAGCGGTAGATATTATCCTTATTTCATCTTGTAAGCTCAGACCAGGTAAGATAATTTACCTAAGATCAAATCCCCCATTTGTGCCCATTTCTGTCCTTACAGACATGGTTGCAGTTCTAGGAGAGACCACAGGACACCGTACCCTGAAGGTCCTCAGGGACCAGATGAGGAGGGATCCAGAGGGTGCCCAGATCCTACAGTAGGTCCCAGCTCTGCATTCTCTAGGGATTCTGACCTCCCTAGAGTCATACTGTGCCAGTTCTGTTCCTCTATGGAGCTCTTCTTGATACCCTGACCATGGATGGTTGCACAGGCAGGACACTGCTCAACTCCAGGGGGTGCCATTTATATATATGTATATACACTGTGATGACCTCTGGGTTATGCAATGTGGTGGCCTCAGCCTAGTTTCAGCTACAGGGCTCTATGCCTTCATTAAGCTCCTCTAACATGTACTAGCTATACCCCACCCCACCCCCATTACATTTTGTAAGTACCCTGATCACATCTGAAGCCTGCCTTCATGCTTAGATTGTACTCCTGCATGTAGGAACCATGTCTTGATTTGTCATAGTCTCCTCTGTCTTTGACACTGGCTTAGCCAGTTGTAGATGTACCATTAGGGTTTATGGCCACTCTGCTGCTCTGTTGTGCCCCAGCTCGTTTTAGTTGTACCTTTCACTTGCCTTTGCCAACACCTTCCCAATACCCAAATCCTGTCTTTCAGGGAGCGTCCTCGGATCTCACTGTCCACCCTTGACTTGGGCAAGCTCCAGAGCCTGCCTGAAGGCTCGCTGGGCAGAGAATATCTTCGTTTCCTGGATGAGAATGTGAGTTTCCAGCTTCTGTGCATCTGTCAGTTACCAGAAAGAGCAAAAGAATGGCACAGGAGTGACAACCTGAGTAAGGAGATGCCCTGAGCTGTCAACAATGGGCAGGAGTGCTTTTCAGTCTTATGCCAAGGCTTTGTCATTTTCAGGCAAATGGACTGGGAACATCACTCCAAATGATAATACTGGTCAATGTTTATTCACCTCTCTCTGCATGCAAGATGCCAGGCTCATTTGTGATCTCGCTGAATCCTCCCAACAACCTTATCAAATGTGTTCTATTATCCTTTTTTTTATACAGAGTCTCGCTCTATTGCCCGGGGTAGAGTGTAGTAGCATCATTATAGCTCACTGCAATCCCAAACTACTGGGCCCAAGTGATTCTTCTGCTTCAGCCTCCTGAGTAGCTGGAACTATAGGTGCCTGCCACTAATTTTTTTCTATTTTTGGTAGAGACAGAGTCTTGCTCTTGCTCAGGCTAGTCTCAAACTCCTGGCCTCAAGCAATCTTCCCGTCTCAGCCTACCAGAATACTAGGATTATAGGTGTGAGCTACTGAGCTCAGCCTATTATCTTCTTTTAATAGATGAGGAAACAGAGGGTCAGAGCAGTTAAGCAACTTGCTAATTTCACAAGGCCAGTATTTATGGAGACAGTATTCACTTCTGTTCTTGCTCTTAATTGCTGCAATATATCCCCTTGTTTCAGGGACATTGTTATCCCTAGGGTGTGACAAATATGGCATGTTCTAGCCCTGGGCAGGGAGGACAGGGGTCGTGGGGGTGGGGGGGGGAAGGTGTTCCCAGCTACTAAAGAACTCATTCTATGGCCGGGTACAGTGGCTCATGCGTGTAATCATAGCATTCTGGAAGGCTGAGGCAGGAGGATCATTTGAGCTCAGCAGTTCGAGACCAGCGTGAGCAAGAGCAAGACCCTGTCTCTACTAAAAAAATAAAAAGAAATTACCTGGACAACTTAAAATATATAGAAAAATTAGCTGGGCATAGTGGTGCATGCCTGTAGTCCCAGCTACTTGGGAGGCTGAGGCAGGAGGATTGCCTGAGCCCAGGAGTTTGAGGTTGCTGTGAACTAGGCAGATACCACAGCACTCTAGCCTGGGCAACAAAGTGAGACTCTGTCTCAAAAAAAAAAAGAAAGAAAGAGGAAAGAACTTGTTTATTTATTCAGCCTCTGCCACATGCCATCCCCTGTTCTGTGTGGTGGGTATGTGCTGGTGAACTAGACAGCTAAGGTGGCTGCCTCATGGAGCTTATATTCTTGTTGAAAAGATAGACAATAAAATAGTAAAAAAAAAAATTTTCATATAAAAATTTAGATAAAGTATTCATTTAGTACTTAGAATGTACCCAGCACTGTTCTCAACAACCTGGGTTACAGTAGACAGAAGCAGCCAAAAGCCTGCCTTGGTGGGAGTTACATCCTAGTAGCTGGGGCTATGAAGAAAAGTTAGTGTAAAAGAGGACACCTTTCACGTGTGGGAGGGTGCAGCCACCTGTGACAGGATGTCAGATGCCCCTTGAGGAGACTTGGAAGATAAGGAGGAACCAGCCCTTTTTTTTTGATAACAGAGTCTGGATCACTCTGTTGCCTGGGCTGGAGTCCCGTGGCATCAGCCTAGCTCACAGCAACCTTAAACTCCTGGGCTCAAGCAATCCTCCTGCCTCAGCCTCCAAAGTAGCTGGGACTACAGGCATGCGCCATCATGCCCAGCTAATTTTTTCTATATTTGGTAGAGACAGGGTCTCAGTCTTGCTCAGGCTGGTCTCAAACTCCTGAGCTCCAATGATCCGCTCTCCTCTGCCTCCCAGAGTGCCAGGATTACAAGCGTGAGCCACCGTGCTTGGCCAGGAGCCAGCCCTTTTGAGAGCTGGAGAAGAGTATTCTGAGCACAGGGAATAGCAAGTGCAAAGGCTCCATGTGTTTAAGAGCAGGAAAGTTGACCAGTGTGGCTGTAGAGGAACAAGTGGGCTGGGAGGTCAGCTGGGGTTAGGCCCTGTAGACCACGAGAAAAGGACTTTGTATTTTGTAGTAGGTGCAATAGGAATCCACTGGAAAGTTTTGAACAGTATAGGAATATGACTTGATTTATAAAGGACCTTAGAATACAGTTGGCTCACCTTCCCTGTCTCTACCCCATTCTCCTCCCCAACACAGACACATCCTATCAAAACATTTCTGCCAAGTGGTTCTCCAGCCCAGTTGCCAGAGCTCCCAGACTGGAGGAGGTGAAGGAGCCACGAAAGCTTGCTTTAGAACAGTTTCTCAACCTTGGCAATATTGATGTTAGGGCTGGATCACTCTGTTCTTGGGGCTGTCTTGTGCATGGGTAGGATGTTAAGCAGCATCTCTGGCTTTACCCACTAAATGCGAGTAGCTTTCCTCCAAGTTGTGACAACCACAAATGTTTCCAGGCATTGCAAATGTCCCATGGTGAGCAGTTGAGAATCACTGCTTTAGAAAGTTATTGTCCCTGAGACAATAATCTGTTCCTCACACTCTGCTGCACTGTTGCCTTGGCAGGGTACTAGACAAGTCCTACTAGACAAGTCCTTCTACCTCTTTGAGCCTCAGATTTCTTATCTGCAGTAAAAGGACCTAATATTTATCTTCCAGGGCTCTTGATAATGGATGTTAAGGCTACTGACTCTGCAATCCAGCAGACTTTGTTTCAAATCCAGACTCAGCCACTTTATTAGCAGGCATTCACCTGCCCTATTTTATATTATCTCCCTCACATTTCAGCAGGATGCAAGTTATTTCATCAATGGGAAACTCACAGGGTGACCTGTCCCAAGTGCCACTCAGGGAGGCACAGCCTTATGAAGTCCCCAGAGCCTTTTGTCCTGTTGTGGTAGAGGGGAGGAGGTAGCAGGGATGAAACTGCTATGACCATCCTGGGCATTTTGCCCAGCCATAGCCCTACTTGTGTGACAGGCCTGGAGATTGTGACACTTCTAGAGCAGAGAAATCAGCAGCCCACAGGTGGTGAAGGAGCACCTTTGTCCCAATAGAGATTTAGATAAAGGTTCAAAGTGAGGCTACCCTCCCTTAGGCTGAGATTGGTAAGGGGTGTGGTCATCGTGTAGCATCAGGATTACAGGCAAGGCCTCTGGAGATAGGAGGAGCCTGAGTTAGAATCTTTGCCTCTTTTAGCTGGATGTGGGCATGTGCCTGTCAACCCAGCTACTCCTCAGGGGCTGTGATCACGCCACTGTACTCTAACCTGGGGGGGCTGGGGGGCAACAGAGTGAGACCCTGTCTCTAAAAAAAAAAAAAAAAAATAGGAAAAAAATTCCTGCCTCTTCCCAGCTTTAGGACCCTACTAGACAAGTCCTTCTACCTCTTTGAGCCTCAGATTCCTTATCTGAAGTAAAAGGACCTAATATTTATCTTCCAGGGCTTTTGATAATGGATGTTAAGGCTACTGACTCTGCAATCCAGCAGACTTTGTTTCAAATCCTGACTCAGCCACTTTATTAGCTGTGCAGTCTTGGAAAAATTACTTTACTTTTCTTGTTTTTCTTATGTATATCTGAGGCTAATAACAGTACTAACCTCCCAGATTATTGTTAGGATGGAATATAATTGTAAAGGATATCCTGCAGTTCGGGCACATAGTCGATACTCTGTGATCACCTTCAGCTTCACACAGCAAGTAAAACTGCAGAGGAAATTAGGTCCTGGGACCCAGCAAGGCGGCATGTGGACACAGACTGAGCAGGCAGCCCCAAAGCAATGAGAACATCAGGTGTCTCAGCTTCTGGACAGGCTGAGGCCATGCTTTGGGAACAGAAAGACTAGGTTGTCCCCATCTGTGTAGGTGTAGCTGAAGACCCAGAGAGACAGTGGGAGGGTAAGAGGAAGATAGTTGATGTCCCTATCTGGAGTCAGAAAAGTGCCCAGTGCTGGCCTTTTACTTAGGCATGCAGGAAAGGTTTATTCATCCAGGCACTCTTTTGGCATTGCACATGTGCCTTGGTGAGCAGTTGAGAATCACTGCTTTAGAAGGTTATTGTCCCTGAGACAATAATCTTTTCCTCACAGTCTCCTGCATTGTTGCCTTGGCAGGGCAATCACCTGCCCTACTTTACATTATCTCCCTCAGATTTCACTAGGATGCAAGTTATTTCATCAATGGGAAACTCAGCAGGTTGACCAGTCCCAAGTGCCACCCAGACATTTGCAATGCCTGGAGAACAATGAGCAAAACAGAGCCAGCCCTGGCCTCCTGCGGCTAACAGGCTGCTGTAACACTGTCCATAGAAATAGAATGTGATCATTTCAACAAGTAATCAGTATTTTAAAATTGAGATTTCACGTTCTTTTTTTCATATAAATCTTTGAGATCAGGGGTGTATATTACACATACAGTACATCTCAATTGGAACTTGTTACCTTTCAAGGCTCAAAGGCCACATGTGGCAAGTGGCTGCTCTAGTGGACAGCACAGGTCTAGGCGACGTTAATGGTCACATGCACTTAGCATCAAGGTATAGTCTTTTTAGTGCCACAGGATACTGCAAGAGACTATAACATGGACCCACTCAGTCTACAGGTTAGGGGTACCCTCCCTGTGGGGCAGGGGATACTTAAACCAGGTTATGAAAGATAATTAGGGATTATCAAGGTGAAGATGGGGATGGTGAAAGAGGGTACCCCAGGCTGGGAGCAGCTCATACTAGGATCAGGGGCCTTGGGGCTCCTTTTTAAATTTTTAATTGTGGTAAATAAAATACATAATATAGACTTTACCACAGCAATCATTTTAAATATACAGTTCATTAGTATTAGGTATATTCACATTGTTGTACAGATCTTTTCATCTTGCAAAACTTGAAACTCTATACCCATTAAATAATTCCTCATTCCTCCCCTCCCCACTAGGGGCTTCTTTGCCATTCCCACAGGCCACACATATTTGAGTGGGGATAAGCCAAGGGGAGTGCCAGTCCCACCATACTCCTGCCTGAGGCTTCCCTAGCAGGCAGGTGTGGACAGAAACCAAGTCCCAGGGTCTTTTGGTGGGGTATGAGCTTGGCGGGTGTGGTGACAGAGTCCAAGAGAGGCTGCCAATTGGGCCCTGGGACCGGTTGGGAAGGTGTCTAAGGGGGTTCCGTGGTTGTCAGAGGGTCTCCCCAGACACCCGAGCACCCACCCGCTTCGTGGACGATGAGGAGCTTGCGTACGTGATCCAGCGGTACCGGGAGGTGCACGACATGCTCCACACACTGCTCGGAATGCCCACCAACATCCTGGGTGAGTGCCCCGAACCCAGCCAGCCTGTCTCCCCGGGGTGGCTTCATGGCCAGGGCAGGACTCGTCTATCTTAGCTACCCTCCTCCATCAGCTGGCTTGGTGCCTCATTTCCTGCTGTAGCCAAACATCTTGGTAGCATCTCCTCACTGCCCCTTAATGGCTCCTACACTGCTATTACAGCGTCCAAACACCAGAGCTGCCGGCCTCATTGTCTTTAGCTGCCTCCCTGCTCTGAAACCTCAGCAATTCCCTGAGGCCTGTGGGGACCATCCTGGGCTCCTCAGCCTGGCTTTTGGGGTCCTCTACATTCTGACCCCAAGCTTCCTTTCCACCCTTTATTTCTTTCTGCGAGCTCTCGGACCTTCTCCTCCACCCCAAGGAGAGTGCTCAGGGACCAACACAGGCCAGGCCTGGGCACAGCTGACTCCTGGTAGATATTAGAGAGGAACAGATGCCTCTCTGTGCCCTACTGTGAGCACCACTGGCCTCTCCTCTAGGGACCTGTTCACCTCTCACTCCATCCCTCACCCCCAGGAGAGATTGTGGTGAAATGGTTTGAGGCTGTCCAGACCGGCCTGCCCATGTGCATCCTCGGTGCAGTCTTTGGACCGATCCGACTCAGTGCTCGGTAAGTTTTCAAGTGGTAGAGGCCGGGGGTAGAATTCAGAGGGGCCAGGGCTCCCAGAAATGGGAAGAGCACGCAGGCCTCTGAGCTGCCCTCATGGTCGTCCATAAAGCAAGCATAAAAAAGAATGGAGCAGGCCAGGCCCAGTGGCTCATACCTGTAATCCTAGCTCACTGGGAAGCGGATTGGTCAAGGTCAGGAGTTCGAAACCAGCCTGAGCAAGAGCGAGACCCCGTCTCTACTATAAATAGAAATAAATTAATTGGCCAACTAATATATAGAGAAAAAATTAGCCGGGCATGGTGGCACATGCCTGTAGTCCCAGCTACTCGGGAGACTGAGGCAGGAAGATCGCTTGAGCCCAGGAGTTTGAGGTTGCTGTGAGCTAGGCTGATGCCACAGCACTCACTGTAGCCCGGGCAACAAAGTGAGACTCTGTCTCAAAAAAAAAAAAAAAAAAGAAGAAGAAGAATGCAGAGAAGGGAAATTGTCCCGGGCTGGTGTGAAGGGCACAAATAAAGCCTGGACATTTCCTCAGACCCCCAGGTCTTTTAGGCCAGGCCTCAGTGCCAGGTCAGAACGATGGGAGTCAGTAGGAAAGCAAGTTGGTGTGAAATTATGGAGTTAGGTAGCCCTTGATTTAAACCTAAGCTTTGGCATGTTCAAGAGGTGTGGCTTTGGGCATGAGATTTTACCTCACCGAGCTTCTGTTGCCTCATCTGAGAACCAGGGATAATAACTTCCTCCTTAGGTCTGCGTGAGGATTAACTGAGAAAATGCCCATCAAGTACTGAGCACATAGAGTGCCCGGCCCTTGGGGACCTTCTGTTTTCTTTTTCCTCTGCTGCCCCACAGGAGCCTGCAAGTGCTGGTCTCGGAGCTGATCCCCTGGGCAGTTCAGAATGGGCGAAGAGCACCAAGTGTCCTCAATGTATACTATGAGCGGCGCTGGGATCAGCCCCTGGGGGCTCTGCGGGAGGAACTGGGCATCACAGCTCCACCCATGCACATCCGGGGCATGGCCTAGGCCCTGAGCTGCTGAGCCAGGAGAGTCTGGCCTGCCTCTCCCATCTCCTACTTCCGTTGGGGACAAAGGGCTCCCTTGCCACTACCTTTGTTCTTTTTCTTTGAACACTAACCCTTGAACATCATTTATCTTAATTTGTCATAACCACTGCTGAGTGACCTTGAGGACCAACGAAGGAGGCAGCAGGCATTACAGTGGGGCTCCCAGAGGAGCCAGGAGCTGTCCAAAGAGAACCGCATAGAACAGCTATCAACTGTCTGGGCTTGTGTTGGGATGTCTCAGATCTGCAACTTCTGTTCTGGACTCACCTCCTCCAGCCAGGGTTTTCTGGGGGCGGGCTGACTGTCCTTGCAAGGGTAAGGGCTACACCCAATTCCAAAGGCCTGAGAAGAGGGAGGGAGAGGAGGTGGCAAGTCTGCTATCTGAATAAAGGCTCTATCAGGTCAAGTGTCTGCTTGTCTTCCCTTGGCCCAGTGATGCCCAGGACTTTGGCAGCCTTGGGCCTTCCCAGCACTGAGGACAGAAATCCTCCTCCCAGCCTGAGCTTTAGCTGCTTGTCCCCTGTCCTCTGTACAGATGGGGTCTCACTGTGTGGCCAAGGCTGGTCCCAAACTCCTGACCTCAAGTGATCCTCCTGCCTCAGCCTCCCAAAGTGCTGGGATTACAGACATGAACCACGACTCCTGGCCTCCCTTCGCCTTTCTGAGCCCAGTTTCATCCTGAGTAAAATGGGAATGCAAACAGGACTCACCTCCTAGGATTACGTGGAGGTTTCCTGAGAGTGACGTTCAGAAGAGGAGCCTCTGAGAAAGGGCCCAAAGAGCAGAAGCTGTTTTATTCTGTGTTCACAGGCATGAAGGGAAAGTGTGAGGCTGCAGTTCATTTTGCAGTGGCAAACAGACATTTTCCTTGCATCAGAGCCAAGGAGTGAGGACAGGCAAGATGACAAGTATCATTGGAAGAGTGGGTGGTCCTATCTTGAGATTTAGTACCAGAAAAACTTCCAAGATGGCAGAGCCTTTAGAGTTGTTTGGGGCCAACTCCTCATTGCATAGATAGGTGAACTAAGTCCTAGAGGTAGGCAAAGAATTGCCTGGAATACCTAGAACACAGGCCACAAGGCCCCTGGTTGGTTTACCTATGCCTCAGTTTCCTTATCTATAACAATGGGTGCAGCTTATTTACAGCTGTACTATGTGCTAAGCAGTGAGTGCTAAGTACTCGAGATGCATCATCACCTTGACATCTCAAGGTCGCTACTGGAGGAGGGAGGTGGTACCATTACTTGTGTCTTACTAATGAGGCAATGGGAGCAGAGCTGAAGTTGTCCAAATATCTGCTCATCGCGGCCACACCAGGGCCCAAATCATGCCTACAGCCACCACATCCAGTTCAGCACTCCCAGTGGCAGCGGGAGGGAGAGGCTGGAGGCCTACCTCAAAATCACAGACTTGGCCCTGCATGGTGGCTCACACCTGTGATCCTAGCACTTTGGGAGGCTGAGGCAGGAATATTGCTTGAGCCCAGGAGTTCGAGGTTGCAGTGAGCTATGATGATGCCACTGCACTCTACCTGGGGTGACAAAGGAAGACTCTGTCTCCAGAAAAACCCGCAGAAAACAAACCACAGACCTTTCAAGAGGAAAGCCTTGTTCTGAGCTGCAATTTCTGCAAGAAAAAGAGGGGATGGGGTAAGTTCCCTGTACCTCATCAATCTTTGCAGGATAGGCCACCTTTCCAGACCTCCTGCCAGCTGTTTGCATACCTTCCTAGGGTCCCAGGCACCCCCACCAGAGCTCATTAAAGTCAACAGTGCCAAGGTGGCAGGAAGAGGTCAGACTCTCAGATGGCTGCCTCTGCCCAGCCAGGTGGCTCACCTGCTCTAGCCAGTCAATGCCTCAATGACCCTGGGCCTTTATAGCACTTGTGAGATGGACACGGCATCAGGATGATCTGGAATGGAGGCTGGTCTTCTCATCATAGGGTGGCATTTGTGTCACCAGCTCATAATTAGAGAAAAATTATACTGGCAATAGCTACAACTTACTGAGTTCTTACAACAGCCCATGAGGCCTTGCCAAATTCTGCCTAGGAACTTCCATTCTCCCATCTCAGTAAATCATGTGTGCCTTTATCATGCTTCCTGAACACACCAGGCTTTTTCCCACCTTAGGGAACAGCACTCTGTCCCCAGGTTGTTACATGGTCAGCTCCTTGTCACATCTGCTCAAATGTCACTTCAGAGAAGCCTTCCCTGACTATGCCATTGAAGCAGTCCCCTTCCCCCTCCATGCCATCACCTTATTTTCTTTAGAGCACTTACCACTCTGAAATTACCTTATTGGTTCATTTATTTAGAAGTTCCATGCTTGCCCTCAAGAGCAGGGACCTTGTTCTTTACTGCTGTGAACAGTGCTTGGCACACAGTAGGGGTTTGGCACTTCCTTGTTGAAGGAATGGAGGCCAAGCACCGTGCTGAGCACCCTGCATGCAATCTCATTTGGTCCCCATGACAGCCCCATGGAGTAGAGGCTGATGGTAGTGAAGACCCTGGGTCACAGCTGGGCTGTGGCGGAGCCTGTCCTGGGACACACGGGTCTTGAATTCTCTCCCAGTAGTCAAGGGAAAGCCCCCTTTCCCCTCTGCCTGATGAAAACCATATGTAGCTGACCCCAGAGCAGTGTTTGGGGGCACAGGCTCCAAAGGCAGACAGACCTGGTCCTGCCAGTGACCAGCTCTGCACCCTTGCAGTAGTCACATTGCCCTTAGAGCCTGTTTTCTCAACTGTAAAATGGGGAGAGTAGCATACCTACTAATGAGGCACAGTAGGACTGTTGTGAGGCTCAATAAAGTCAGGCATGGTTAATGTTTATTAGCATAGTGTAAGCACTTAGGAAATGGAAGCTGTCATTTGCCAGGAAGGCCCTTCAAGGCCTCTGAAGTCACCATGTACAAAGTCAAGCCAGAGGTATTTTATTTTGCACACACCCAGAATGGGAGGACTTCCATAGCTTGGAGGTCCTAATGCCAAATGGAACTGAATATCTTTGGGGTAAGCACCTACTGTGTGTCAGGGGCCAGACCACTTCAGTGCCCTGGAGAGCCTGAACTCCTTCACATTTCTGGTAAGTCTGGAGTTACGTCTCCAGGTAAGTCTTGACGTTAGTTCCCTAATGCAGTGCAGTCATGTTAGTGGAAAGGAGCCCCGCCCTTGAGGTCAGCCTAAGCTTGGCCTGTCCCACGAATGACAGGACTCAGTCCCTGACCTTCATAAGAACCCCCAATGGCTCTTCATTACCCCTGGACAAACAGAACAGCCTGGTACACAAAAGCTTTTCCAATCACTTTTCCCTCCACATGGCCCCCCTTCCCCATGTAATGTCCAAGCCCATTAGTCTTTGATCATTTGACAGACATCTTCTCAGCATTTGCTGAATGCAGATGCTCGGGGTTCAGCAGTGATTGAGAGTTCCATCCTTGCCCTCTGGGCAGTTGAGTAGTTATGACAGCAGAGAGCCTTCCATGTGCCAGCCCTGAGCTAAGAGGTTGACATTTATCATCCCCTTGAATCCTTTTTTTTTTTTTTTTTAGACAGATTCTTGCTCTGTTACCCTGGCTAGAGTGCAGTGGCATCATTGTAGTTCACTGCAACCTCAAAATCTTGGGCTCAAGTGATCCTCCTGCCTCAGCTTCCTAAGTAGCTGTAACTACAGGCATGCACCACACCCAGCTAATTTTCTATTTTTGGTAGAGACGGGTCTTGCTCTTGCTCAGGCTGGTCTTGAACTTCTGAACTCAAGCCATCCTCCTGCCTTGGCCTCCCAAAGTGCTAGGATTACAGGTATGAGTCACTGTGCCCAGCCTCCTTTAATTCTTACCCAGCTCCAGAAGGCAGGGGCCATGATGACTATAGTCCCACCTGTACTCAGGTGAGGACACTGAGGCTCTGTGGGGAGCCGTGATTGACTCAAAGTCTCACAGCAGGGACTGGGAGTGCACCCAGCTGTGTCTGACTGCCGCAAAGACACTTTAATAATCACAGCACTATGTGGTATTATGCAAAAGTATTGTGAGCACTTGGTGAAGTACAACCTATTCTAGTCTCACCTCCACCAACCCTCTGTGTGTCCAGCCAGACTGTAAGCAACTTGAAGGCCGACTGTTTTCTCTGTGTCCCCTTACTCCTCCCTCTCAGGCCCAGCACATTGTCTGCTGGGGTACTGTCTTGGTTTCACCAGGATGACAATTCTAGCTGAAGGAGAACAGGTGGCTGGTCACCAGCACCCTCCCCCAAACTCTCACCTGCCCAGTCTGCATATGACTTAGGTAGTTGATGTGGAAATACTTATGTTTACACTCATGGATCCTGGTGTGGATCAGGTCAAAGCCTCCAATTCACTTTCCCTTTCATTCATTCAACAAACATTTATTGGCCGGGCGTGGTGGCTCACACCTGTAATCCTAGCACTCTGGGAGGCCAAGGCAGGAGGATTGATTGCTTGAGCTCAGTTCGAAACCAGCCTGAGCAAGAGCGAGACCCCCATCTCTACTATAAATAGAAAGAAATTAGGCCGGGCGCGGTGGCTCACGCCTGTAATCCTAGCACTCTGGGAGGCCGAGGCGGGCGGATTGCTCAAGGTCAGGAGTTCAAAACCAGCCTGAGCGAGACCCCGTCTCTACCATAAAAAAAATAGAAAGAAATTAATTGGCCAACTAATATATATAATATAAAAATCAGCCGGGCATGGTGACTCGTGCCTGTAGTCCCAGCTACTCGGGAGGCTGAGGCAGGAGGATTGCTTGAGCCCAGGAGTTTGAGGTTGCTGTGAGCTAGGTTGATGCCACAGCACTCTAGCCCAGGCAACAGAGTGAGACTCTGTCTCAAAAAAAAAAAAAAAAAATAGAAAGAAATTAGCTGGGCATGGTGACACATGCCTGTAGTCCCAGCTACTTGGGAGGCTGAGGCAGGAGGATCCCTTGAGCCCAGGAGTTTGAGGTTGCTGTGAGCTAGGTTGATGCCACAGCACTCTAGCCCAGGCAACAGAGTGAGACTCTGTCTCAAAAAACAAAACAAAACAAACAAACAAACAAAACACATTTATTGAGACTCCATCATTTGCTGAGCTCTGTGAATACAATCAGAGATAATCTCCATGTCTAGATTCCGATCTGGTATGTACTTGTGCCCAATGAACCTGTAAACCACAATAATAAATATGTCAAGAACTACTTCAAACGCTCCCCATGAATCTCCACATCAAGTCTATGAGGAAAGCACTATAAATATGTCCCCATTTTTATCTCAATATATAACAAAATGAGACTGAACTTTCAGCTGAGAAGTGGAACCCAAGTGTGGTGGATGCCAGTGTCCATGCCCATAACCACTGCACAGTCTGCCTCTTGAATATGATACCCCTGGAAGAGGTGGTTGAGTTTACCCAAGTCCCTGAAAGGATGCACTCTGTACTCCAGAAGAACTAGGTCCAAATCCTGATCAGAACAAAGTTTCATCTTTCATTCCTATAGACTCTGAAAAGTGTCCCTCCCCATTTTCAAAAATTTCTACCAGACTAAGGGATTAAGGATCTATTTAAGGACACGTGACAACTGTGGATGCCCAACATGTTTGGTTATCAAGTAACCTTGTTAAAGAGGCCCAGAGCTCCACAAGGCTGGGAATCTGGCCAAGCACCTATGGGTCGGTGGGTAGCATGACAAATCAGGTCTCAGGTTGATAGGCTAATTGATTTGCTGCCGGGTCCAGAGCTATCATAGGCTGAAGTTAACCGAGGGCCTCCAAATCTGTGCCCTTTATGTCAGCAAGTAGGCTGCCTTCCCAAACTCCAAGTTTATTGTACAGAAGTAGCGATAGGTGCGACCTGTGGTTCTTTCTGAACCTTATAAGGGTTCTGGAGGACCTAAAATACCTAATGGAAGTGAAGGAGGAGCCGTTAAAACTCGACTCTGGTGGGACTCGAACCCACAACCTTTGAATAACCACACCAGGCCTAGCTAGAAGTCCAATGCGCTATCCATTGCGCCACAGAGCCAGCCGCCAGAGCTCACCCCCTGCCTCGCCTCGCTGCCTGAAACCGCCCATTTAGCACTCTTCTAGGTGTGGCGCCGAGCCTTTGCTCAATTTTGCCCCAGCTTGGGCGTGTGCTCGGGATTCTCAGCTGTTCTCCCTACGTCCTGGCGCCCAGGGACTGCAGGGAGAGAGGGCCGGGGCGGAGCCGGCACATATGTTTTGAGTCGGGGGGCGGGCTCTCCGCGGCCGGGCGGGACTACAACTCCCAGTGTGCCGCGCGGCGGCGGCGCCCGAGCCCGTCGCACGCGCAGGGCCGCCTGGGGTCGGGCGGCGTCCGGCGCGTTGGAACTCGCTGCGCCGCCACCTCTGCGGCTCGGCGGCCCGGGGAAGGCGCGGGAGGCGGTGCTGCCGGCCGGCGCAGCCGGTTAGGTTGCAGGAGGCGGGCGGGGGAGGAGCGTGGCGGGCGGGGCCGGGCGGCAGGAGGGGCTGGCCCGGCGGCCGGGCCATGCAGGGCGCAGAGCCGGCGAAGCACTGCTGATACCTGGCTCTGTGCGCCCAGGGGCGGCTCATGCCCCCCGCGCTCCATACTCCGCCGCTGCAACCGGGTCGCATCTGGGCAGGGCGCTGCGCGGCGGAGCCGACTGCGGGTGAGCACAAACTGGGTCCCTGGGCAGGGAGCTGAGCCGGGCCGAGTCAGGGGAAGGTGGCAATGCCGGCCTGGGGTGGAGGGCGCGCCGTGCCGCGCTCTCTCCCCACCAGACGCTGTGTTATCCAGGCTGTCTAGGGGCGAGAGCGTTACACATGTTCCGGGACGGGGGCCCGAGGAGACTGGACATCCCCTCCTCTCCTCTCCCCATTCCCCAGCCTTCCCGGACTGGTTCCTGCCCTCTGCTGTGGTTGGTTCTAGGTGGCCAGAGGTCTGAGGAGACCCAGGCATTGGGATTGGGGGCGCTGGTTCAGTCTCCTCGCCCCCGGCTTTTCTTTTTCACGAGGGGTAAGGGAAGGTGGTCTATAAGAGCTCCTTGTGGTCCAGACCATGTCCTCATCCCTGGCTTGGAGGTTCTCAAGCTACTTAACAGCCATGACCTTCAGCTCCTCCCAAGAATAGAAAAACTCGAAAAAAAACTGAGTCCCATCAGCTATCCCCTTGAGCAAGTCCGCAAAGCGCCAGGAATAGAACCCAAGAGTCCTAATCTCAGCCCAGCCTCTGCGGCACAGTCAGCCATTCCCCTTACCTTAAGCCTCAGTTCCCAGAGATTCATCTGAGTGGCTTGCTGTGTGCGTGTGCGTGTGCGTGTGCGTGTGTGTGTGTGTGGTGGTCGGGTGTGTACCTTCAAGGCCCTCTTCCCCTCCCTTAATCAGCTTTGCCCGCTGGGCGGTCACCTCTCAGGCACCTCCAGCCTCTAACTTGTTTACTCGGTTGCCCTCTATTGACCAGCAGAGGCACTGCGCTGCCTGTACCTGTGGGCAGGGACTGAGCAGGGCTCCTTTCCCTGGAGCTGCCCCTTTGGGTGTTTTGACTTGGCCTGGTCATCCACAGAACCTCTCTGGATCTCTGGGCAAGAGGGCTAGAGCACTTAAGTTAATACTCACGCCAAACCATCTTGATTAGGGACCCTGGATTTCAGGAGAGTAAGTCTCACATCCGTTGCACAGAGCAGGAGGCAAAGGCCTAAAGTGGTTAAGGGGGTTGCCCAAGGTCACATGGAGAGTGGTAGGCAGAGGTGGGATTACAAGTCTAGAACTAGCCTCCTGTTCTCACCCCTGGAATTCCTCACCTCAAGTCCCATGCCTCTAGCCTGCCCCGTCTAGCCAGCTGTGGGACCCAAGCCTGGAAAGAGACCCCTGTTCTCAGTCACTCCACTCGGTATGGCTAAGCCTTACCACAGGGTGACACTTTGGGGTTACAGGGGCCTGGCAGCCTGGGCTGGGAGACCTGGGGAATGTGGACATTTGGGTCCACTGACTGTCCTGTGCCCACAGGGCACAATGCTACTCGGAGCCTCTCTGGTGGGGGTGCTGCTGTTCTCCAAGCTGGTGCTGAAACTGCCCTGGACCCAGGTGGCGTTCTCCCTGCTTCTCCTCTACTTGGGGTCTGGCGGCTGGCGCTTCATCCGGGTTTTCATCAAGACTGTCAGGCGAGATATCTTGTGAGTACCTGGTCCAGTCCTTCCTGGGGTCTCTCACACCATAATGGGTTCCGGATCCCCCAGATCTTCCTAGACTAGACTCCATGGTCTCAACCAGCATGGGGCACTTGGGCCCCAGAAGAGCAACCTCTGTTTTACACTCTTCCCCTGGCAATAGTACCTGGTACCTCCATCTCCAAGGTCCAAGTCTTCTCCCAGGGAATCTGCCTAACTTCAGTCTCTTTGGCTGGAGCAGGCTTGGGGCCTGGGAGGTACATTAAGGACCAGGTGTGTTGAAGAGACATCTTCAGAGGGTCCTGAGGACACTCTAGATTATTAGAGGGTGAAGAGGAACCCTGTGAGGCCCTGTCCTCAGGTTGGCACAGGTCTGAGGGGGAAAAGGGTCACTTAGTTCTAGAGCAGGGCCCCTAGTCAGATGTCTGGGAGAAGCTGTTCCCCAAAGAAAGCCAGGTATTCTCCACAGGGATGTCCAGAAACACCTGATCCATGCAACGTGCTGGGCTGGCTCTGGTGCCCAGAGAGGAACAAGGCAGACTTAGTCTGCCAAGTTCAGACTGGTCAGGTAGAAAGAAGGGAACACAGTAAATCCCTACCCTGGCAGTGCTGTGTGGGCAGAGACCCTGGTGGCCTTGCTTACCACTGTGTCCCAGTGCCCAGCACAGTGACCCACCACAGTGACCCACACCCAGAACAGGCAGCTCAGTATGTGTCAGTCTGGGTTGATTGCAAAAGGAGGTGTTGATTAGCACCCCAGGAAGAGTGGTAGCAGCGAGGCTGTGGGAGCATGGAGTAAGGAGAGATGACCTCTGGCCAGGACCTTGGGGAGTCAGACACGGCCTCCTGCAGGAAAAGTAGTTGTAATGGAGAGGTGCCTTGAAGGTGGTGGAAGGAGGGGAGTCCAGCCAGGGGCAGGATCAGCATCAGCAAAGGCACAGAAGCTGGGAGCTCATGGAGTTCAAGGGATCAGAAGTTGGCAGAGGTGGAGTAGGAAATGAAATGTTGCCAAGTGATTCCACAGACACTTGTAGAACATCTACTCTGTGCCTGGCACAGGACCCTGGGTCAAGGTGGTGACCAAGACAAAGGCCCACCCTGGTTCATAGGGAGAAAGACTAGACAAATCTGTAAGCTTCTGCTTTATTTACTATGGTGTTGGTTGGGGTAAGACATGGCCTGTGGGAGGCTCCAAATGAGGAGTCTGGACTTTGCCATGGAGCCCTGGGCACTGGAAGGCTTGTGCCAAAGCAGCAGGCTGAAAGGGTGGTAGGAGTTGAACTCTCAAGCCAGAAAGGCCTAGATTTCAAATCTCAGCTCAGCCACCTGGGAAGGTGTGGGCAAGGGAAGGTGTGGGCAAGCCGTGGCACTGTGAGAGCTGCGGTTCCTCTGTGTAAGGGGCGTGAGAAATCAAGTGCTCTTGTAGTCTTGGGAGGCATCAGCGAGGTGGGGCATGTTATGGTGCCAAGTGCCCAGGCAGAGCTGGGGGTAGAAGTGTTATAGGAGGCCTGGCTCGTGAGACTCAGGCTAATGAGGCAGCAACCTGGGCTGGGTGTCAGGACCTCTCACTCCCACCCCAGCAGTCAGCTGTCCTACTCGCTCCCACACAGCGGCGGCCTGGTGCTCCTGAAGGTGAAGGCAAAGGTGCGACGGTACCTGCGGGAGCGGCGGACAGTGCCCATTTTGTTTGCCTCAACGGTACAGCGTCACCCCGAAAAGACAGCCCTGATCTTCGAGGGTACAGACACCCACTGGACCTTCCACCAGCTGGATGACTACTCGAGCAGCGTGGCCAACTTCCTTCGGGGCCGTGGCCTGGCCTCAGGCGATGTGGCTGCCCTCTTCATGGAGAACCGAAATGAGTTTGTGGGCCTGTGGCTGGGCATGGCCAAGCTGGGTGTGGAGGCGGCGCTCATCAACACCAACCTCCGGCGGGACGCCCTCCTCCACTGTCTCACCACCTCTGGGGCACGGGCCCTTATATTTGGCAGTGAAATGGCCCCTGGTGAGTCCCAAGGGAGCAGGGGACATGCAGGAGTCTCGTGGGATCTTGCACAGACCCCAACTCCCTTCTATCTCTGGGGGAGGCTGTGTGGGTCAGTGCTGAAGGGCATGAACCGTGGAGTCAGACAGCCAAGGGTCTGCCACAGGTAAGCTGGAGGTCCTGGGTAAGGGACTGATTTCTCTGAGCTTCGGTGTCCTCACCTGCAGTTTCTACCTCGTCTTCTTTTCTTTTTTTTTGAGACTCACTTTGTTGCCCAGGCTAGAGTGAGTGCTGTGGCATCAGCCTGGCTCACAGCAACCTCAAACTCCTGGGCTCAACGATCCTGCTGCTTCAGCCTCTCAAGTAGCTGGGACTACAGGCATGCGCCACCATGCCCAGCTAATTTTTTGTATATATATATTTTAGTTGGTCAATTAATTTCTTTCTATTTTTGGTAGAGACGGGGTCTCGCTCAGGCTGGTTTTTTTTTTTTTTGAGACAGAGTCTCGCTTTGTTGCCCAGGCTAGATTAAGTGCCGTAGCATCAGCCTAGCTCACAGCAACCTCAGTCTCCTGGGCTCAAGCAATCCTCCTGCCTCAGCCTCCCGAGTAGCTGGGACTACAGGCATGCGCCGCCATGCCCAGCTAATTTTTTGTATATATTTATTTTAGTTGGCCAATTAATTTCTTTCTATTTATAGTAGAGACGGGATCTCACTCGTGCTCAGGCTAGTTTCGAACTCCTGACCTCGAGCAATCTGCCCCGCCTCGGCCTCCCAGAGTGCTAGGATTACAGTCGTGAGCCACCGCGCCCGGCCCTCAGGCTGGTTTTGAACTCCCGACCGACCTCGAGCAATCCGCCTGCCTCAGCCTCCCAGAGAGCTAGGATTACAGGCGTGGGCCACCACGCCCGGCCCTATTTTCAAGAAGATACTCCACCTGAAGCACTAGCAAAGTGGCTGATGCTAGGTGGCCCCTCAGATCTAATGGTAACTGTCCTTGTGACTGATTAGGGCTCATTTACCTCATCTATATAACGGGAGCAAAGATTCATTCCCCATGCTCCTTGTAAAGCTTTCTGAAAGGGAGAAGGAAAGATGCAGTGGGGAGAGGGAGGGTTGGACGAATCAAGACGAGGCCACTGGAAGCGGGGCTGAGTGGGCTGGCCCTGCCCCATGCCAGTGTGGGTGAGTATCTGGATGTCTGTGCAGCGCGTGGGGGAGCCCAGAGGAAGTTCCCGCTCTCCAAAGGGGATAGGGGGCTGCTGCCCTCTGACCCCAGCTCCTCCCTTCTAACTGGTCCCCCAGCGAGTAGCACATAGTGCAATGGATAAAGGCCCAGGCCCTGCTGTGAGATAGAACTAGCATTGTATCTGAGGTCCAGCACATTCTAGCTGTGAACAAGTTTCTTTCATTTTCAATTTTATCATCTGTGAAATGGGCTGTCATTGATACCTCCTTCCTAGGGTTGTGGGAGCAGCAGAATGCAGGTAAAGGGCCTGGTCTGTGGTTAGCCAGCAACTGATGGGGCTGTTGCTCCTGTCAACACTGAAGTCCCGGCGGGCACGGTGGCTCACGCCTGTAATCCTAGCACTCTGGGAGGCTGAGGCGGGAGGATCGCTCAAGGTCAGGAGTTGGAAACCAGCCTGAACAAGAGCGAGACCCCTGTCTCTACTAAAAATAGAAAGAAATTAATTGGCCAACTAAAAAAAATATATATATATATAAATTAGCTGGGCATGGTGATGCATGCCTGTAGTCCCAGCTACTCGGGAGGCTGAGGCAGGAGGATCGCTTGAGCCCAGGAGTTTGAGGTTGCTGTGAGCTAGGCTGATACCATGGCACTCTAGCCCAGGCAACAGAGTGAGACTCTGTCTCAAAAGAAAAGAAACAAAAAATTAAAAATTAAAAAAAAAACCAAACACTGAAGTCCCAGGTGCTTCACTCACTTCTCTCCCCGCCAAGCCAGTGTGCCCTGACAACATGCCCAGCCCTGGCATGAGCAGAGAGCCTGGGAACATGAGGTTTCTTGGTCTGCATGCTGATCTGCCCTGTCCTCCCCGTAGCTGTCTGTGAGATCCATGCCAACCTGGACCCCTCGATCAGCCTCTTCTGCTCCGGCTCCTGGGAGCCCAGCACAGTGCCCGCCAGCACAGAGCACCTGGATCCCCTGCTGAAAGATGCCCCAAAGCACCTGCCCAGTCGTCCTGACAAGGGCTTCACAGGTGGGCTTCCCTACCCCACAGTTTCTGAGATGGGCCCAAGACACAGCACTAGCCTCAGGGCCAGAAGGCTTGAGTTCTGCAAACTTGCTATGTGCCTGAACAAGTCATGTCACCTCCCTTTTTCCATCTGGAAAATGGGGACAGTAACCCTGGGACACTAGGGTTACAATGAAGGTGCAACGAGCTGATGTGTATGAAGACGCCAGGCACAGAGGAAGTACACACAGGGACTCACTACGTCCAGTTCTTTGATTTGTTGAACAGCTTTTATGGATGCCTAACGTGCAGGATGATGAGGACCCCAGGAACTTGATTTGTCTAAATTTTTGCTGGGGTTGGGGTGGGATGGCAGGCGGGCTGGGGGGTAGGGGGAAGGAGCAAGATCCTTTGAATAATCATCAAGTGCCCATCCAGTGTAGGACACTGCTGTGTCTCCCCACCCCCTCCTCCAGGCAGCCTCCCTAGGCCTCTCACCTCCCTTCCTTTATACTCTAGCTTGCCTGGTCCTTCTGCTTTTCTTACTCCCCTGCAAAGCCACCCTGCCCGGTGGCTCAGAGCTCAGGCTGGTGAGTCAGATCTGAGTTTATATCCCGGCTCTGCTGCTTCCCTGTGTGGCCAACACCTAACCTGCCCTCTGAACCTTGGTGCCCACAGCCACAAACTAGAGGATAATAATAGAACCTACTTTATGGGGTAGCTTTGAGAGTTGAAAAAAGTGGATTAAGTCCTGAAGCTAGGGTGTGGCAGGAAGGGCTCAGTAACTGGTCATTGTCCTCATTGTCCTTTGACCTCTCTTTCATACGTGGACCTGGTCTCTTTGGTACATTTATAAGCTGCTTGAGGGCAGGGACTCTGGCTGGTTCACCCTGCTGCCCTCCTGGTGCTTAGGGCTGGCAAACAGCGACAGCCAGAGAGCATGAGATGTTGTGGCATGTGCTAGAAACATGTAGGGTCATCCTGTGGAGCTCCTGACCTCCAGGAGCCTCCAGTCTGGTAGGGCTGAGTTTCCTACAGAACGGGCCATGGGGTGAGAAAAATACATAGTCAGCAGTGCAGAAGCTACCTCAACATTGCGCTTCCTGCAGCTAATGCCTCCCCATGCTCTATGACTTAGGGCAGGCATCACCTCTTTCGGGCACCCAACCTGGCGCCATCTCCCCTCCCGCATACCCGGGCCAGGTGTCACTGCCAGGCTTCAGTAGGTCCAGTGCTTCCCGTCCTCCCTCTGGTGCTCAGTGCTCAGTATGGGAATTCCCTCCTTCCTCATCTGACTGTCCCACTCAGCTATAACTCCCGAGAGGGCTTGTGCCAATCTTAGTCACTAATGCCTCTCCCCCAGGGCCTGGCAAGGAGCAAGGGCCCAGGAAGACGTTTGTTGAAGGAGTGGATGTATTAGAGCAGAGCAGTGTGAGGGCATCAGGGTAGGCTTCCTGGAAGAAGTGTGGTAGGAGCAGGTGTTAAGGGCTGCACACATGCAGGCGTCCGTCTGTGTGGTCCCGTGCCCAGTCCTGTGCTGCCCCCTCACAGCACTCGTGTGTCTGTTTTCTTCAGATAAGCTCTTCTACATCTACACGTCAGGCACCACAGGGCTGCCCAAAGCCGCCATTGTCGTGCACAGCAGGTAAGAGGCGGGTGCCCCAACGTGATGGGCAGGGCCTGGGAGTCCCCTCCCTGCTGTCCAGGGGCTCACCCAGCCATTCACCCTGTGCCCTCCCAGGTATTACCGCATGGCTGCCCTGGTGTACTACGGATTCCGCATGCGGGCCGATGACATCGTCTATGACTGCCTCCCCCTCTACCATTCAGCAGGTAGCCCTGTGCTTGCCCCCTCTGCCTCTAGCATCCCAGGGCCACAGGAACCCCACTTTTCTTCTCAAGCAGCACGTTGCAGTAGAAATACATGAGTTTTAGAGTTCAAATCTGGGGCTAGATGCAGTGGACTGTAATTCTAGCACTTTGGAAGGCCAAGGCAGGAGGATCGCTTGAGGCCAGGAGTTTGAGACCAGCTTAGGGAACATGGGGAGACCCCCATCTATTCAAAAAATTAAAAAATTAGCCAGGCATGAAGGCACTCACCAGTAGTCACAGCTACTTGGGAGACTGATTCAGGAGGATCACTTGAGCCCAAGAGTTTGAGGCTTAGTGAGCTATGACGACTCCACTGTACTCCAGCCTGGATGACAGAGTGAGACCCTGTCTCTAAAAAAGGAACAACTATGGTCATTGACCTGACATCAGTCTTCTTTTCTGTTAAGGTGTCCACACCAGCCTCAGTGTGTGTTTGGAAGTGTCCCACAGGGCATCTGGGCTGGTCTGGTATTTCAGTCCACAGATGTGCCTGGCATTGCTGCATGGTTTTAGAGGCTTAAGGGGAGACAAAAGTTAAATAGAAACAGTTCCTGCCCTCCAGGTATTTAGAGTGGTGTGTGTTCCTGAGTAAGGAGGAGGGGCTGGGAGCAGGAGTGCTGCCCAAGGAAGAGCCGGACATGGAGGCTGGGAGGCTTCTGGGAGGAGGTCCCTCAAGGCAGACAGATGGGAGGGGCAGAAGCCCCGCAGGGCAGCTTTGTCCTGCCTGGCTGTAGGGCAGCTTTATGGGCTTGGGACAAACTCCAGGCTCCCCTGGGAGCAGACTAAGCCACTGAGGCACCACAGAAGGGGTCTGAACAGGGAGAGATGTGTTCACTTAGTACAGGCGGGACAGGAAAGGAAGGAGACCAGGAGAGAGCGCCCGAGAGGAGGTCGGCTTGGGTAATGTGGGGAGCCTCTGGAGGGAGGGTCTCTGTTTCTCTGACCTCAGGGCCCACCCCTCTGCTTCAGGAAACATCGTGGGAATTGGGCAGTGCCTGCTCCACGGAATGACAGTGGTGATCCGGAAGAAATTCTCAGCCTCCCGGTTCTGGGATGATTGTATCAAGTACAACTGCACAGTGAGTGAGAGGGGAAGGGAGGGAGTGGGCGAACTGTCCCATCCCATTGTTACCCTCCCCGCAACCACACTCTGGGGCATCTCTCTTATAACTGAAGTGGCCAGTCATTCAGAAGGGTTCCCTCAGGGCAACATTCCCATTGTTTAAATGGGAAGACTGAGGCCTGGAGAGGGAAGAGATTACACAGTCAGCCCCTGGGGAGGGTAGAAGCTTAAGGGTTGGGAAGTAGTGAAGTGAGGGCACCTCAGGAGCCTGGAGTCACACCAAGTCCACCCCCAGATTGTGCAGTACATTGGCGAACTGTGCCGCTACCTCCTGAACCAGCCGCCCCGGGAGGCAGAAAACCAACACCAGGTTCGCATGGCACTAGGCAATGGCCTCCGGCAGTCCATCTGGACCAGCTTCTCCAGCCGCTTCCACATACCCCAGGTGGCTGAGTTCTACGGGGCCACTGAGTGCAACTGCAGCCTGGGCAACTTCGACAGCCAGGTTCGGCCAGGTTGGGGAAGGGCGAGGCCACTGCGGGATGGGCCACGGGAGGCACTGGGCAGCAGAGAAGAGGGCAGAGTTCCAGTGCAAGAGTGTGGGTGCTGGAGTCCCCTTGCCCTCATTGTCCAGTTTGGGGCCCACGGTGGAAGAGCCCAGGCCCAAGTCTTAGCCTTCGCAGGTGGGGGCCTGTGGCTTCAACAGCCGCATCCTGTCCTTCGTGTACCCTATCCGGCTGGTACGCGTCAACGAGGACACCATGGAGCTGATCCGGGGGCCCGATGGCGTCTGCATTCCCTGCCAGCCAGGTCTGCCTCGGGCCGGAATTGGGGGTCAGAGGGAGAAGGGTTGGCCTGGGAAGGAGAGAAGCCAGGTCTGGGTGGGTGGGGAGCCCTGTTCTGACCAGTGGCCATCAGTCAGCTCCACTCCTAGGGCTACAAGTTGCTCATTTCTTTGTCCATCCATTTATTCACTCGCCTGTCCATCTATCCATTCATTCATTTTCATGTTGACTTGAGAGGACCCTGAGCTGGGCCGCTTGGGATTGATTCTGGCTCAGCCTCTTAGTTCTGCGTCATGGGCGAGTTATTCAGCCTCTCTATGCCTGAGTCCCCTTATTTGCAAACGGGGCTGATGGCAGCACCCTCCTCATCAGGTTGACTGCAGGATTATGTATGCTACATACACAAGGCAGGGAGCAGGGCCTTGGCAGTGCTGGTTTGTTTTTTTTTTATTTCGGCATATTATGGGGGTACAGATTTTAAGGTTTCAATAAATGCCCATTTCCCCCCCTTGTGCTGGTTTTGTGAGGCTGCCACTGTGTAGCCCAACCACGTTGCCGCATGTGCATCTTCCCATCCATCCAGCGAGCAGGCGTCACCACGTGCCTAAGGGTGTCAGACCTGCCAAGATGAGCTCCCGGGCTGGGGAGAAGACGGGCTTTTGTGTGGCAAACAGTGTGGATCCAGGCAGATCAAGATGCAGGGTGCATTTGGCGAGGGGGCACAGGTCGGAGAGGCTGCCTAGGCCATATCTGAGTCTGCCTGCCCCACCCCCTAGGCGAGCCAGGCCAGCTGGTGGGCCGCATCATCCAGAAAGACCCCCTGCGCCGCTTCGATGGCTACCTCAACCAGGGCGCCAACAATAAGAAGATTGCCAATGATGTCTTCAAGAAGGGGGACCAGGCCTACCTCACTGGTGGGTTCACAGCCCCTTTCTGAGGAGGCAGAGTGGATGCGGGGACCTTCTGCCGCCTTCAGAGAATATCTCCCCAGAACACCCCCCCTCCCCCCCGCAGCTCTTAGGGTAAAAGAAGTCCTTGTGCTCCAGTGAGGACTGCCTGGCTCCAGCCTGGGCCAAGGGTCAGCTGGCACAAGCTCTGACATACAACCCCTCCCTAGGCGATGTGCTGGTGATGGACGAGCTGGGCTACCTGTACTTCCGAGACCGCACGGGGGACACATTCCGCTGGAAGGGCGAGAACGTGTCCACCACCGAGGTGGAGGGCACGCTCAGCCGCCTGCTTGACATGGCCGACGTGGTGGTGTATGGTGTGGAAGTGCCAGGTGTGTGTGTGGAAATGGGAGATGTGTGCAGAGGCACCATCTGGGGACACCTCCAGCCACTCACCATCTACCTTACTGCCCCCAGGAGCTGAGGGCCGGGCCGGAATGGCTGCTGTGGCCAACCCCGCTGACAGCTGTGACCTGGAGCACTTTGCACAGGTCTTAAAGAAGGAGCTGCCCTTGTATGCCCGCCCCATCTTCCTGCGTTTCCTGCCTGAGCTGCACAAAACAGGTGTGTCCCACCCCTGCGCCAGCTCTTGGGTTCCAAGCCTAGGCTCTTTCCCATTTCTTCCTCAGAGACCCAATTGGCTATCATCTCCCTCTGCCCATAGTCTGGCCAGGGAGTTGGTAAACTGACCTGCCCGTGTAGAGGGAGCAGACTTCTCCAGAGAGAAGAGGCTCATGTTTCCTTCGTGGAATGAATACTTACTGATTGCCAGGCACCGTGCTGGGCCTTGGGGACACAATTAACACATTCTGATGGGACCTTTGTCTTCTTGGAGCTTTTAGAGCAGGAGGGAAGGCAGCCATAGGACAGGGAACTCCAAAGATAAAGACTGGACCATAGGCTGGGTGTGGTGGCTCATGCCTGTAATACTAGCACTCTGGGAGGCTGAGGCAGGAGGATCGCTTGAGGTCATGAGTTCGAGACCAGCCTGAGCAAGAGCAAGACCCTGTCTCTATTAAAAATAGAAAGTAATTGGCCAACTAAAAATATAGAAAAAATTAGCCGGGCATGGTGGCGCATGCCTGTAGTCCCAGCTACTTGGGAAGCTGAGGCAGGAGGATCGCTTGAGCCCAGGAGTTTGAGGTTGCTGTGAGCTAGGCTGACACCATGGCACTCTAGCTTGGGCAACAAAGTGAGACTCTGTCTCAAAAAAAAAAAGACTGGACCATAGGTCAAGCTGAGAGAAAAGGAATGAAGGGACGTTTGGGATGACTGGAAGGCTGCCCTGAGGAGGTGATGTTTCAGCTGAGATCTGAAGGAAAGGGAGGAATTTACTGGCGTGGGAGGCGTTCTAGACTGCGGGAACAGCAAGTATGAAAGAGCTTGGGTACCGGGGGATGAAAGGAGGCCCCCAAAGCTGGAGCCAAATGAGAGGGGCAGGCAGTGGTGTGAGATGGGATAGAGGCCAGCAGGGGCCTGAAGCCCAGAGCCTTGGAGGCTGGGGTGGGAGTTTGGACTATCCTGGGGCAGTAAGGAGCCACAGAAGTGTTTGAGCAGGATCATAACCTGGTCAGATTCATGTTCTACAAAGCTCTCCAGCTGCTCTGTGGGGAACGGGAGAGGACTGCAGGCAGCCTGGAGGGAGTGGAGAGATGCACGAAGGGCTGTTGTAGTTGGCCAGGTGAGAGGAGCAGTGGCCCCGCAGTTACACATGAAGCTAGCACCGTCCTTCTATCTGTTGTCCCACTGGTGGCTCTCAGGAGTTTCCTGGTGGCCAGGGAGTGCTCAGGCTTATGCCCAGACCTGCCCCTTCTGGCTCTCCCTGACTGCTCACCCTTGGGCCACATCTGCCTGGCTACCTCCCAGGTGGTGGTCATGTCATTGCCCACCTTGATGGCAGGCCTTCCCTGACCAATATGGCCCCTGCCAGAGAGTGGGTGCCTGGACCTCTAGGGGCACCTGAAGCAGTAGGGAGGGTCTGGGGCTTCAGTGTGGCACTGAAGGACAAGGACACTGGTACCAGGCTCATGACTAAAACTGAGAGTTCCCCGAAGATTGGATGACACCATGGCTTCTGTCAGGAGAGGCAGGGAAGCTGACAGACTTTGGGGTTCAGATGGGGGGGGCTTTGCTACAGAACAAACCACCCCTAAACGTACTTGCCCCAGCTGAGCAGTTCTCCTGTCGGCCTTGCCTGGGGTTACTCAGAGAGCTGCCATCACGTAGTTACTCACCTGGGGAAGGAGGCTCTAAGATGGCCTCACTTCCACGTCTGGCTCTCATCTGGTTGCTTCTGCAGCACTGTCCAACAGAACTGCCTGCGATGATGGAAATGTTTACGATCTCTGCCATTCGACACAGTAGCTACTAGCCCTGTGTAGCTGTTGTGCACTTGAAATGTATACAGTGTGACTGGGGAACTGAAATTTAAATTTTGTTTAATTTTAATTAAATAGCCATATACAGCCAGTGATGACCCTGTTGGACAGTGCTGGCCTGGGGGCCTCACTGGGGATGGTTCTCTGCTCCATGTGGCTTCTCATCCTTCAGAAGGCTAGACTGGCCTTAAGGCATTCCTAAGACCCTGGGGACAGGGAGAGAGGCGGGACGGTACTGCAGGGACCCTTGCGGCCTAGATTCACCCAGGAATCCCACACTGTTGCTTCTGCCACATTCTATTGGTCAAAGCAAGTCACAAGGCCTGTCCAGATTGAGGCCAGTAGGGATTGAGAAAGACTCCAGCTCTTGCTGGGAGAAGTGGCAAAGCCACATTGTAAAGGTGTACAGGGAGGGGAGGAACCTGTAGCCCTTTTTTGGAAGTCTGTCACACCCAGGCTCAGATCCCAGAAGACTGATGAGTATCGGTCTTCTCGTCGTGCAGCGGGGCTAATACTGTTGATTGAAAGAGGCACAGTTTGCATACTGTTAAGGGAGAAAAGCTGCTAATTAAACTATTTCAGAGATGTTAAAGTTTGGAAGCATGTGCATCTTAGAAAATGAGATCATGCTTGTACTCAGTATGTAGGTACTCAAGTAAAGGGTCATCAGTTGGCTGGTCCTCTACTCTGCTGTCACTCAGTGTGTGAAGTCGGGCACATAGCTTCCCTTCTCCAGGTCTCACTTTCCCCATTTTCAAAATGGGTGTGCGTGGGTAATGCAGCTGTCCCTGTCCCCTACCTCTGCCTTGCCATGGCTGCTCTGAGAAGCAGTACACAAGGTAACAGATGGAGCATTCTTTGCAAATTTTAAAGGGTGGTGCCTTCTCCTCCCACACTCCCCCTCTCCTGTTTTCTCTCCAGCCCTTCTCTCTGTCCTTCCCCAACAGTGGTGGTCAGGTTCCCAGGAGCTCGGGCCCTTGCCCTGAACTGTCTGAGTTTTCCCCACTCCCCCAGGGACCTACAAGTTCCAGAAGACAGAGCTGCGGAAGGAGGGCTTTGACCCAGCTATCGTGAAAGACCCACTGTTCTACCTGGACACCCGGAAGGGCCACTATGTCCCACTGGACCAAGAGGCCTACACCCGCATCCAGGCAGGCGAAGAGAAGCTGTGATTTTCCTGCTACATCCCTCTGAGGGCTGGCAGATGCTGGATCCAGAGCCCCAGGCTCCACCCCAGAGGGGTCCTGGACAAATGCCAGACCAAAGCAAGCAGGGCCCAGCACCTCCACCCAGGGTTCTGGCCCCTCCCTTCAAAACTGCCAGGTGACTCACTGCCACCTCCCACACCCCCTCCAGAGGTTTTCTGTGAAAGCCTCATGTCCAAGTTATGTCTTCTGGGCTAGGCAGGCCCTCTGGTTCCCAGGCTGAGACTGACAGGGCCTTCTCAGGATGATGTCTTGGGTCAGTGCAAGGGGAGGTAGAGGGGTCACCAAGCTCTCCCAGAGAACAGGGAGCTTATAAATGGGACCAGGGCAGCAGTCTCCAGACTCAGGAAGCCAACATAGTGGGCAGGGGCATTAGTGGCTGTTGGTTAGGTGGCCGAAGAGGATCCTGGCCCCAGAGCTGCCCAAGTTATTCAGCTTCACTTGTACCTCCAGGAGGGGAAGAGGAGGCCCTGACATGGCCCCTGATTCCCTCCTGCAATAGGAGGTCAGGACAGAGTGCCCCTTATCTCCCCCCACTCCATCATCCTCTCTCTGGGTGGCTGCCTGGCTGTCCCTCAGGCAGGGCCTTTCTGTCCTTGTGGGTCTGTCTGTGTCACCTTCTCCATCTCAGTCCTGCCCTGGCTATGAAAGGAGGAGGAATGGGGGAGGGGGGCTCAGGGACCAATAAACTCTGCCTTGATTCCTCCTAGCCTGGTTGCAAGCCACCTGAGCTACATGGCCCCAGAGCCCCCCCAGCCCACCCCGGGCCTGCTAAGGCCTCACCTCCTGCCCCTCTGGCCTGTTCACTCCCTCTTCCATTCATTCATTCACCTGGACTTAGGGACATAGCAGGTAAGGTGCCACAGCCGCTGCCATCCATGTGCAGCTCAGATGGGGGAGTTGCCACCTGAGTCTGGCAAGCTGTGTAACAACGTGAGTACAAAAGTTCAAACCAGGCAGAGCACAGTCGCTCACGCCTGTAATCATAGCACTTTGGGAGGCTGAGGCAGGAGTTTGAGACCAGTCTGGGCAACACAGCAAGACCCTGTCTTTATAAGAAAAAATTAGCCAGGTGTGGTAGCACACACCTGTAATCCCAGCACACCTGTAATCCCAGGCTGAGGGCAGGAGGATCTCTTGAGCCCAAGAGCTCATGGCTGCATCGAGCTATTATCACACCACTGCATGCCAGCCTGGGCAACAAAGCGAGACCCTGTCTCTAAAAAGAAAAGAAAAACTAAGTCCAAACCAGCTGTCTCAAGCTTGTGGCCTTGAGCAAGTAACTCCGTCCACTCACCTGTAAAATGGGAACAGTCAGTTAAGAGGATTCAGAAGCTAAAGGTAGGCTGGGGGCGCAGTGGCTCACGCCTGTAATCCTAGCACTCTGGGAGGCCGATGGACTGCTCAAGGTCAGGAGTTCAAAACCAGCCTGAGCAAAGCGAGACCCTGTTTCTACTATAAATATAAAGAAATTAATTGGCCAACTAATATATATAGAAAAAATTAGCCGGGCATGGTGGTGCATGCCTATAGTCCCAGCTACTTGGGAGGTTGAGGCAGAAGGATTGCTTGAGCCCAGGAGTGTGAGGTTGCTGTGAGCTAGGCTGAGGCCAGGGCACTCACTCTAGCCTGGGCAACAAAGCAAGACTCTGTCCCACCCCCCACCCCCAAAAAAAAGAAGAAGCTAAAGGTAGCCAGTATGAGGAAGGGGTTTGAGGGGAAACCCTAAGCTACAGTAGGATCCTGACTCCAGACCCTGCCACTCCCTCTGCCTGCGGTGCATTTTCCCCATGTATTAGGGGCTGGAAAGATCTGGGTGGGGCTGGGAGGATGTTGCTGTGGGTGCCAGAGCAAAGCTGGCTGCCCAACCAGTACGGACAGAGTCCAAGAAAGCTTCCCGGAGCAGTACGATGGAGAGCCAACTGCCTCCTAGGCCCCACTGCTGTAGTTGTGCCCAGGCTGGAGGCTCACAGCCAGTGGGAAGGGGTTCCTGCACAGCCCAAGGCAGTGGGCAGTTCGACCCAAGCCCCTGGGCCTTTATCTCCACTGCTGAACCCTGACCAGGAGTCTGTGAGGTGGGCTTTGTAAATAGGCTTTTCAAGGAAAGAACTTGGAGATTTTGAGTCACTTGGCCAAGGTCACACAGCAAGTAGTGGGGGCTGGAATGCAAACCTGAGCCCTGTGTCCTTCCTGCACCCCCTGGCTCCTGGTGCAGAAGACAACAGGAAGTCAGAAGAGCTTCCATTCCAGGCATGCCTGTGAAGCTAACGTGGCCACACCCTGGGCCAGTGGCTGACAGTTAGGTGGAGGGTGGCAAGGCTGAGAAGCCTGGGGTGCCTCCTGGGAGAGTGACCTTTGAAAGATAGAGGACTCTGGTGCCTGTCTCCAGAGAAAGTGGCAGGGGGTGGGGTCGTGGCAGAGCTGGAGTGGGGAGCAACACTCAAGGAGTCGGGATGGCAGGCCTGCTGCCGTGCCTGACTGTGGCCGGCAGAGGGCGCACAGAGCTTGGAGCATCCAGCCCTGGCCCCTAGCACTCAGCCGAGGGAAGCAGGAAGGATGGGCTGTGAGTACCACCTCACCTTCAAGCAGGTACCAACTCAGAGGACCTCATGGCAGGCCTTTGAGGGCCTTTGGTCGGGCTTCCAAGAGCCTGGATTTGGTTATGGTGCTGCTTTGTGTCTTTAGCCCTCAACAGTAAGTTCTTTACAATGGCAAGAAGCCTTTGGAGAGAGGCCATTCCTTTTTCCAGGTTGAACACAGTCACCCAAAGGCAGTATCCAGTGGTGGTTAAGAGATCCAGCTCTGCAGTCAGCAAGGCCAGCATCCAAATTCCACCTCTACCAGCCTAAGCTGTTTCCTGTCCTGTAAATGGAGATCAAGGAATCTCTCCCTTGGGGATTGCAATGTGAAAATGCAATGAAATTGTGCATGGAAATCTTTTAGCAGGGGTCTGGTGCTGGTATCTGCTCAATGCATAGTAATCAAAAGAAACAAAGGGGCTGGGTGTGGTGGCTCATGCCTGTAATCCTAGCACTCTGGGAGGCCAAGGCCAGAGGATCATTTGAGCTCAGGAGTTGGAGACCAACCTGAGCAAGAGCGAGACCCTGTCTCTACTAAAAAATTAGAAATTAGCTGAACTAAAAAAGAAAAAAAAAAATATACATATATAAATTAGCTGGGCATGGTGGCGCATGCCTGTAGCTATAGCTACTCAGGAGGCTGAGGCAGGAGGATTGCTTGAGCCCAGGAGTTTGAGGTTGCTGTGAGCTAGGCTGATGCCAGGGCACTCTAGCCTGGGCAACAGAGTAAGACTCTCAAAAAAAGAAGAAAAAAAGCATGTTCAGATGTTGAGATCCCAGAATAAGCTGTTTCCCACTTATGCACTGGACAGCTCTCCCTTGCAGTAGCTCCCCCATGATGGAAAGGGATAGGCGGGACTGCTGTATCAGGCCATCCCCAAAGCATGGTTATGTGAGTCATCTCCATGCACAACATAGGTGCTCAATACATACTTGTGAAGTTAACAACAGCCACTGTTTATCAGGAATTTCCCAGCCGGGTGTGGTGGCTCATACCTGTAATCCTAGCACTCAGGGAGGCTGAGGCAGATGGATTGCTCAAGATCAGGAGATCGAAACCAGCCTGAGCAAGTGTGAGACCTAGAAATAAATTAATTGGCCAACTAAAAATATATAGAAAAAATTAGCCGGGCATGGTGGCACATGCCTGTAGTCCCAGCTACTCGGGAGGCTGAGGCAGAAGGATTGCTTAAGCCCAGGAATTTGAAGTTGCTGTGAGCTAGGCTGATGCCACACCACTCTAGCCGGGGCAACACAGTGAGACCCTGTCTCAAAAAGAAAAAGGAATTTCCTGACATTTTACAAATTACCATTTAAGTTAATCTAGGGAGCAAATTCTAAATGCCTACTCTGCAGGAGTGGGGGGTCCAGAGCTGACTTGTGAGCAAAATAGATCTGCCCTCAGGAAGCAAACGTCCCCAAGGAGGGGAAGAGAGGGCTATCCTGGAATGAAGCAAAGGCTGTGTCCGCAGCTGCACCTAACCCAGTGCCCCAGGGTGGGTGGTGAGGGTGGGGTGTTCACTATCAGGCAGGGTTTCCAAGGAAGAGTGTTCCAGACAGTGGGAGCAGCAGCATCTAGAAGGGGGGGGGGTGTGCACGGCAGTGAAGCTGCAGGGCTGGGGGCGGGGAGGTAGTGGTTAGAGTTAAGGCAAGATAATGGAAAGTGAATCCTTTGTGGGATTCACTTATACTCCCACACCTCCAGGGACTGGGAGCTCCATTTGGAGGTCCTAGTATCAGGTCAAACCTGCTTCCTTAGACTCTCGCCAATGGTCACCAAATATGGAGCACCTACTATGTGCCAGGCCCTGTGCAAAGCATTGTATGTGCATGATTCTATTAAATCCTCTTAACAAAGCAGGCACAATTTTTCTTGCCATTCCACAGATGAGGAATCAGGCTCAGAGAGGCAAAGTCTCTCCAAAGACTGCAGAGCCTGTGAAAGGCAGAGCTGGGGGGAAAGTCCCCTTCCTCAGTCCCAGTGTTCCCCTCTGCAGCGTGTCCACTCTGCAGCCAGTCCGCTTTGCCTGGGGAGGCTGGAAGAGGCCAACCTTGAGCATCCCCGGAGGTCCAGCTGCTCTCGGGACAGGCAAGTGGCTGCCCAGGCCAGTGTGTGGCATATCACTTTCAGTTCCTAGGAAGGAGGTTAAATAGCTCTGAGGGGCCTGTTGAGGCTGAGACGGCAAGGGAGCCGGACCGAGTGACTTTCAAAAGGGACTGAATGCGTGGCCAGCCCCTCCCCATGAGGAGGGGGCCCTGCTTCCTACCCACCTAATGATATTCTGGGCTCAGCCCTCGTCTTTGGCGGCAGTTTAACCCGAGCCAGAGCGGATTTCTTTCTCACTGATCTCAGCTTGACACCCAATTAGCACAAGAATGGGAGGAGGAAGCCTGCGAGAGGCGCCTCCCAGCCTCCCAGGGTGCGCGAGGGGAGTGGGCGGGAAGACAAAGGGCAGCAGGCAGGGGGGCACCAGCGCCCTCGCCTCCCCCTCAGACCCCGCCTTTGTCTCCCTGGGAGTTTCAGAAGGGCTGGCAGCCTACACCTGGGCTGGCTGGCCCGTTGGAGGGGACAGGGGATGGGGCCCAAGCCCCTGTTCTTCGTGGACCTGAGGGAAGGCATTTGGGTGAGACTACCCAAGGGGCAGCAGTGAAGGTCAGCGAGTAGGGGCAGGGATCCTGAGGGCACAAAAACCTGGGGTTGAGGCCTGACGGGTCATTCTAAGTCTCAGTTTTCTCATCTAGAAAAGGGATAATGAATAGTCACTGTGAGGAGTCAATTAGGTAATGCATGTGAAGCACCTGGCAGGTGCAAAGTGGGTGTTCAATAAATACTCTTTGAACAAATACAGGCTTTTTTGTTTTGTTATTTTTGGAGAGAATCTCCCTCTGTCACCCTGGGTAGAGTGCAGTATCATCATTTTATCTCACTGCAACCTCAAACTCCTGGACTCAAGCGATCCTCCTGTCCCCTGCCTCAGCCTCCTGAGTAGCTGGGACTACAGGAGGGCACCACCACGCCCAACTAATTTTTCTATTTTTAGTAGACTGGGTCTTGCTCCTGCTCAGCCTGGTAAAAACAATACATTAAAATAATACTGTTACTAACCCAGGGCCTGAGTGGAGTAGGCTTGGGGTCAGGAGAAGGAAGGGTGTTAGAATGAGAGCTGGGCATCCACAGAATGGGCTGACTTACCCAGAAGTGATCTCCCTGTCTCTGGGGCTATGCCTGAAGCTGAGGACCACCCGCCTGTTGAGATTGCAGGAGAGGGGAATGCCTCTGGCCTCCTAAATGCCCTCTCCCTTGGCCTTCCACATGCCTTTGGACTTGTGCTTCCATGTGTCCTCATCTCCATCCTGGGAGCCTTCTCTGATCCCAGGGCTGGGTTAGAGGACTCCTCTGGTTCTCCCTTCATAGCACTAATCTGCACTGTGTGGCCATTTTTCCCTTTAATGGTCTTCTAGAACATCAGCCCTTGGAGGGCAGGGACCCATTGGTTTTGTTCACCATTGTGTTTTCAGCACTGGCACTGGGCCTGGCATGTAATAGGCACTCAGTGAATGTAAAATAGATGAAACTTGTCAAATGCTCCCAAGCACTCGGATCCAGCTCTGGGAGGCAGTTCCCAGGGTCAGAGGATATTCAGCTCACAGAGGTGGGATGGGATGGGATCAAAGGCTGTAAAGGGCTCTGACTGTCCTTATCTTGTTGGCAAAGAGAAGCTGTTAAATGATTTTGAGCAGGGAGTGACATCACTCATTCATTTATTCTCTCATTCAGCGAGCACCTACCTACCAACATCTACAATGTACAGAGCTCCTTACTGCATACTAACAATCCAAGATCAAAGAGTAATCAGGAAAAGTTTCTGCCCTGGAGAAGCTAAGAGTCTAGTGAAGAATCTTAGAATATTTTTTGCTGAAAGGGCCTGAAAGATCATTTGGTCCTAAACCCTCTTTACAGATTGGGGAGTTTCACAGAGAAGTGACCTACCCACCTGGCATGGTGAATTGGGGCCTCTCCATTAACCACAGGATTCCTCTGTGCTTTTTGAGGGTCAAGGCAATGTCTCATTTTTGAGGATCAAGGCAATGTCTCATTTGTCCTCATTTTACTAGTGCCCTGGTACATTGGGCACTGGTACTAGGGCCTGGCACATTGAAGGGGCTCAGAGCTGTCATGGAGTTGAAATGTACAATGAAGCCAAGGCCAGAGGGTGGGAGGCAGGCAAGCCAAAGAGGAAGTGGGTACAGGTGAGGTGATAAGCTGGGGGTAGGAGGTTGTCTAGAAGAATCTGGAGTTCAAAGTTAGGCTAGAATGGAGACTAACCCAAATTTGGTGACTAGAGGTGAGAGGAGGGAGAAAATTAAGAAGAATGTCCAAGGTTTCTTGCTTGTGTGTTTTGGTGGGTGATAGTGGTTTTCCTGAGATGGGGAACACAGAAAAAGCCTCTTTAGGGAAAGAGGCACTGTCTCAGAACTCATTTAATCCTCGCTACAATGCTATTGGGTTGGGCTATTATCCCCACTTTACAGATGAGGAAACTGAGGCACAAGGATGTTAAGGGATTTGCCTAAAGACACAGACAGGAACTGACAGGACCTGGACACAAAGCTGGCAGTTGAACTCCTAGCACTCAACCATTACATCGTTCTGTCCTTACCCACTAGATTATGCCACCATCCTCTACCAATGCTTAGTTCAGTTTTGGAAATGTTGCTGTTTAGATATCACATGGGGCATCCACTTCACTCCATTTCTGCCCTGGGCTTTTGCAATAGGCTCCAGTGGTCTCTTTGTCTCCTTCCTTGTTCCCCCCAAAGTATTCTACACCCTGCAGCCAGAAAAGACATTTTAAAGCACAGTTCTAACAATGCCACCCTCTTCCACAGCCTCCTAGAGATGGAAATACTTACCTGGCTTACAGGGCATAGTTTGCCCCTCCTGCCTTTCTAGCCTCATCTCCTACCAGGTTCTCTGTTCCCCAACTTCTAACTTCCTCTCTTGGTGTTCTAGCATGTTCTCACCCAGAGCCTTTGTGACTTCTATTCTCTCTCTCTCTCTCTCTTTTTTTTCTTTTTCAACTTTAGATGCCTCAAATGCTTTGAGACTTCTATTCTCTTCATTGGAATGCTCCCAGGGCCTTCTTTTCCCTGACATCCACATAGTTAACTCCACTCAGGCTTTAGAACTCACCACGTCCCATCTAGTCAGTTTTCCTTTCCAAGTTCCTGTAACTTCTTTCAGTTTGGTAAGGGGAAAAGCAGGGAGAAAAAAAAACCTTTCAGTTTAAAGTTTTACTTTTATTAGTAAGGGCATGTTTCTTTTATTACAGTTAGTCTGCCCACTAGACTGTGAGTGCCCTAAGGCAGGAACCCTGCCCATCGCCTTTCCCATTGCATCCACAGCTACGACCAACATGCCTGGCACACAGCGATGCTTTGCACAGCTGTGATGAGTGACAGCTCAGGAGAGAGATTGCTGAGTCGGAAATAAAGATTTAGAAGTCATTCAAACCAGACGAGTGGATGGGCTCGCCCAAGCAGTGTGTTGACTAAAGAGAAATTTGAAACTAATTCAAGATAAACAGTAACGTGACTCACAGTCACGTCGCAAAGATGCTGGGGGGGGGTCTCTTTTCCGCCTAGCGTGGTATACAGAACGCTTCCCACCCTGAGTATCTGAGCCCGGGCTGCGAAAAGCAGAAAGAGACCTACTCACAAGCTCTCGCAGCGCCCGGAACCGCCCCTCCTCCGCCGCCTACCGCTGTGACTCCCTCCAATAGCTGAAGCGGATGGATCCCCTGGGTACCGCCTCTTCCGCCCGCCGCGCCGGCGGTGACCGGAAATGGGCAGGCGCACCGGAAGTTGAGGGGAGTTTCCTGCGAGCTCGGCTTCCTCAACATGGCAGCGCCCTTGTCAGTGGAGGTGGAATTCGGGTGAGTTGCAGAGTTGGGGCGCTGTGGGGATGGATTGAAGTCGTCAGGCCCGGAACTTTCCTCTCTCTGCCTTGGGGCCTAACACGGCCAAATTGTCCAGGTTCCCGATGCCTGCCATGAACTGCGCCACACGCCTCTGAGAGTCTGAGAGTCTCAGTCTCTTGGCGAAGAGACCGTATGTCCGGAAATAGAGGCGCACACTTGGGCGGGGAGGCGCGCTGTGGGTACTCCTTGGTGCCCCACGCCCTGCAAGACTCAAGGGGCGTGATGGTTAGCAGGCAGCCTCCCTGTTTTCTTTACCAATCCCGTTTTGGACCAATCCCATCTGTCTGGCGTCTGAGCTCCTAGAACCTAGAATGACCACCCTCACCCCCTCGATTTCTGCCTTTGGGCAGCAATTTCTGCTTACACTGTTCTTGGGGTTTTATTTCTCATGGGATGTGTGGCCAGGACGGGACGACTTTCTTTCGCTTTCCCAAGACTTGGGGATGTTAAACAGACCTGAGCCTCCTTCAGGACAGTCAGTAAACTTGCTGAGTGCTTTCTGCACATCTTGAGTCAGGTGGAGATTCTGAGTAGGGTGGGATAAATAAGAAACCACAGTGGGGGAGACTAGCACTGACAGTATGTAATGCATAAATGAAAAATGAGGGAATTTGGACACACAGCAATAACTGAAGGAACAGAGCAAGGAGGAAGTCTAGTCAAGCCACTATTTTGTCCCTCCAACAAACAGGAGGTTTGTCATAGTTTCAAAGCTGAGATAAACCGCGAAGCTTAGAAAGAAGGCAAAAAAACAGGCCCTAAAAGATGGTTAGTATAATTTCCAGAATCAAATGGAAAGGCTGAGATTAGATGTGTGTGTGTGTGTGCATGTGTGTGTGTGAGAGAGAGAGAGAGTGTGTATGTGTGTGTGTGTGTGTGTGTGTGTGTGTGTGTGAAGATAACCAAGCCAAGGTCTGTATTAAAGGAAAAGTCTGGGATAGGAATCTAAAACCTCTGCCCAAATACCATTCCTCCCATTGGATGCCCCCAGTTTCTTTCATGTTTTCCCTTCATTGGGTAGTTCATTCACCAGTCATTTATTGAGTGCCTACCATGTGCCAGGCAGTGAGCCAGACACTGAGGATACAAAGATAAATAGAACTCTGTCCATGCCCTACAGTGTTCAGCATTTCTGTCCCTTAGAAAACGGACAGACTCATGACTGTTAAGTGCATCTTTATTGATACTGTCTGGCCACTTGGATCCAATTAGAACTTTGTTGGTCTGACCTCCTAACTATTTTGCCTTACTGACCCTTGGTCCAGCTGTACTCCCCAAAGCCTGGGAGTTCTAGGAGGATTCCTGCTGTTTTGATAGGTCTCAGCAGAGCTGGAAAGATAGAAGCTCCAGACTCCCAGTGTTAGAATTTATCTACAGCCAACTTGCCTTTCATTTGCACTGAATCAGTCATGGTATTTGCTCATCAGAAATGGCTTCTGTCTGCCAAATACTGTGCTGGCAACAGTGGGGAAATCATATGAAGAGGATGTGACCCTTGCCCTCTAGACCTTACATACCAGTGTAATTTTCCCTTTCTGGTCTGACATCTCTAGCCTCACCCTATCTTAACTCTAAGAGCAGTAGCGAGTTCTGGAAAGGCAGGACAGCATTCCTCCATCCACCTACCCACCTCCTACCAATTCCACCCACACCACAGTGTCCTGTGAAAATTGCAGCTTCTCAAGAAGCAAGAATGCCACAGCTGATGCCAAACCTAGGTCCTTTCTCCCTTTGTCCTTGTCTCAGTGCATATTTTTGCCCCAAACCTTTCTTTCATTTCCTGTGTCTCTTAGCAGACATGCTTTGCCCTTTACTCTGAACCTGAGCAGATTTACAAAGATGCTGCCATGCCCATCATTTTCTCTCTTTTGTCCCTGACTGGCCCCACTCCAACTGTGGTCCCGCAAGAGTCTAGGTTAGGACTTGGCCTCTTCTCCCTGAGAGCAGATGTCCTCTTGGCCCCATCAGCTCTCTTCTTCTTCTTCTTCTTCTTCTTTTTTTTTTTTTTGGAGAAAGGGTTTCTCTCTGTTGTCCAGGCTAGAGTGCTAGAGTGTAGTGGTGTAGTCATAACTCACTGTAACCTCAAACTCCTCACTCAAGCAATCCTCCTGTCTCAGCCTCTCAGTAGCTGGGATTATAGGTGTGTGCCACCTTGCCTGGCTAAGTTTTTAAAAATTTTTTGTAGAGATGGGATCTCACTAATGCTCAAGCTGGTCTATCCTGGGCTCAAATAATCTTCCTGCCTCTGCCTCCCAAAGTGCTAGGATTACAGATGTGAGCCATCATGCCCAACCCCTACCAGCTCTTCTGTAGACCCTAGTCTAGAAGGCCCCCTGCATCTCTCCCTCTTGTCAGTAACCAGTTCTGCCATCCTTTATCTTACCTCCTGAACTGTCCTTATAAGAAAAGCATTTTCTTAGGTCATACAGCATTCAAAGTATGTAGTACAGATGTGTTTTGTGTTCTTGTGGTTGATGTTGTAAAGGCCCAGATGTGAGCTTCCCTGTGTTCCATCCTTTTTCTTTCTTCCTGAGTTGGGAAGCAAGTATAGGCAAAGGTGGGGGGAATGCCATTAAGGTCAGAGAAGTGGTAGCAATGGACATTTTTATCCATTCGGCAAATATTTGTTTAGTGCCTGCTGTATGGCAGACCCTATTTTAGGCAAAGCTTGCAGTCCAGTAGGAGGTGGAAGGGAAATAAGTAAACCATACACACACACACACACATCATAAAAAGATAAAGATAAACTAGAAAAAGTGAAGGCAGTTTTGGGAATGTCTATACCTGTTACTGGTATCAACAAACATATCCACCAAAAATTGGAAGGTGGGAGGAATATAGAGGTATCTTAGTTGAGTTTGACTAGCAAATCCTATCAGACGTCCAGACACAAGAGGGCCTTGCCTTGAGCATCTCTGGGGCCAGAACAGGCCCCTTGTCTGCCTCCCTGAATCACTCCAGACACGGGACATATACCTTCCCCCACTCCAGATGTGCTGACAGGAGAAATGCCAACCTCTCCCTTGAGGGCCAGAGAATTCAGTGATGACGGGTGACTCTCTGAGCCAGACTGGTTCTCCCTTCATCCGCTTGTAAAGGAAAAAACAGCCTCAGCCTCTGAGCCTGGCACCACCAGGTTGGCCACTCTTGGTTGTTTGCCTGAGTCCCAGTGCCTCCAGTTCCCATCCCTCTTCTCTGACCCCCAACTCCTGAGCCCCTTGCCTATCACCCTCCCCCATCCCAGCTGCTGCATGTGCCAACCCCCACCCAGGAGAAAACGAAGTTCTTGGAAGGGGATAAATGGAGGCTCTGTGTGGGCTTGCAGCTGAAATGGCCCTGTGCACGGCCACAGATGGGCCTCCTCTCCCCCTCCACATTTCTGCATCAACAAAGCGTGACCTTGTTTGGATGACAGTCGCCCCATGTTTCCCCCATGACAATGCTTGCCTTGCCTTTGCCTCTCAGTGGCTGTCTCTGGACATTTCTGTTCCCTGAAATTGGAAAAGGGTGGTAGGGTGGAAGACATTGTGTCCATCAAAAGTCTGTTAAGACCTTTTCAGTTAAGACTGATAAAGTCTGAGGTGGGATCAGGAGACCCAGAGGGAGAAGTGGGTGAGGCGCTGAAAGAGCGCTGGGGCCCGCTTCAGAAGCTAGGCTTGGCTCTGAGCATCTCTGCTGCCCCAGCCTTCCCTTAGCCAGGGGCTGGGACACAGAAATGAATCAAACTCTGCTCTCAAGGGGCTTTCTAACCTTTGGGGAATCTTGTTTGTTTCTGCCAAAGGCTACTGGTGCTGAGCAGGACCCAGTTAGATTCAAATTCTAGTTCAGCCCCTGCCTGTTTGACCTTAGACAAGTCATTTAACCTTTCTAGGCTTCAGTCTCTTTCTCCATCAAATGAAGTTAATGTCTGCCTCCTTTCTTCCTTCCCTGTGATGCCCTGAGGATGAAATGCTGAGATGATGTGGGCAGTTCTTAGTTGATGCCAGGCCCAGTGAACTTTCTCAGCCTCCTGCACTATGGAGTACCCACCAGGACAGCAGCAGGTGGCACAGGCAGGAGCATTTCAAACCCTCACCTGGACAGGAGCATTTCAAACCCTCACCTGGCCAGAGGAAGTCTCTAGATGCACAGGGTCTCCAGACTGCCTCACAGTGGCTTCTCAACATTTTTCCAGATGGAAAGACTGAGGCTTAAGAAGATTTTGTCAAGTGTCCATGGTCACTCTGTCAGGGAGAGGTGGGGCCTGTATCTATATGTGTGTGCCAAACTGCCTCTCTAGAAGGCAGAGTAAAATTAAGGGCCTGCAAATTTGGGTGCTTGATTACTAGTAAAAAGTATTTACATCCTACTTTACCACATTAGGAAGTCACAACAATGGGTCACTGGTATGCAAGGTGTTCCAAAACTTTGATCTCTTCATTTCTTGGGCTTCCACTACCAGTCCATCCTCAGTTTTCAGTTTCAGCTACCTCCTCCTGTTTGCAGGAGCTCACCTGGCTGTCTTTTTCTCTGGCCTTCCTTCACAGAGGTGGTGCAGAGCTCCTGTTTGACGGTGTAAAGAAACATCAAGTCACCTTACCTGAACAGGAAGAGCCCTGTGAGTATTGGTCATTGGTCAGGAGCTAAATCACTTAGCCCCGTTCAAGCGGTCATAGGTAGAATTGCCCTGGTCAGTGGAGAGGAAAGAAGAGATCATCACAGTACTCTTCCCCCATCTTCTCTGGAATCAGCTGACTTCATAAGGGAGGTGTGTAGCTTAGTCCCTTTGTGGAGGTTCTGTGTTCATATAGGCTTGAGTTTGAATCCCCCCCT